CCTTGGGCGAGTGATCAGCTCGTCGCAAGGCCTCTACCTGTAGACAAACACAGAAAAACGCACACAAACATCCATGCCCTGAGTGGGATTCGAACCCACGATCTCGGTTTCCGAGCGAGCGAAGACAGTGCATGCCTGAGACCGCTCGGCTACCGTGACCGGCTTACACTTCTGCTTATGCGTTGCTATTAGCGCCCTACACAGCAAAATTTGATCAGATTATAATATTTCGTGTTTATATAAATAATTTTTTCTCCCAAACTCGCTGTAATTTTAATATTCTTGACGAATATCTGCTTGCGTCTCCTTCAGAATGAGACAAATATAATACGACGTTGAACTTAAAATAAAATCAATCTAGTTACCAAGTTTTAGGTACCAGTAGCAGATACTGAGCAGTGTGCTTCGGCCCTCTCTTTCTTTTCGTGCTGTAGCAATGATCAATACCTGGGGTAATAGTCAGTTGTGTAATCAAAGCGGCAGGGGTTTTCATGAACGAATCAGAGCCTATGATACCGAAACTAAGGCAATCGCTTCAGATTTGTTGTCTTACCTGCCAGGTCCCAAGTCCCAGAAGGGGCATCCGTTGTCCCGATCCGAGAAGCACAGAATTTGTAGCCATATTACCGATAGTGTTCACTCGTGCCAACTACCGGAGCAAGAATGCACCAAATTCGTGAGTACGGCTCCACGTGAAATTATTTTTAGCCATTGCAGTAGCAACTGGTCTTTTTTAGTCAGCCACTCTTAAAAACAATCCAGTAGGGCGCGTTTTGTTTTAAAATTTGTACCATACTCAATTCGCTTTCAATTGGACTTTCCAAGGCATCTGAGAACACCATAGACAGTAATAATGAGGAAGTATTTCAGTGTTTTATATTGTTGGATGTGATATTCTCACGGCAGTGACTGTGAAGTTCTATCGTCTGGGGTATAACGGCGTGTAAACTGGCGAAAGCCTGGACTACACAGCGTTGTGTCCCAGAAGACCTCGTCTTTTTGCTTTGCTTTTCTTTTGAATTGTGAGTTACTGAAGTACGTCAGGTACTTCCGTTCCTCTTAACTTCAGGGACATTTTTTGTGTTACTGGTTTTGACGGTTAAAACACTACTTTAAATGAAAATGTATCCACTATATTATTTTCTATATGAAGACATCATTCCGTAGGTTGGTGGACAATATTAAAATGGATCTTAGAGAGATAGAATGGGATGGTATTGATTGGACTGATCTGGCTCAGGATAGGGACCAGTGGAGGGAAATTTTGTCTGAGAACAACAAAAAGGAATACTCAAAGTCAGGTATAGAACTCTTAAGGCTAGAAGAAAAAAGATTTCTGCAAGGTGTGTGTTACTTCATAAACAACATTCCTATATTTATATAAAATAGATACTAACAGTATACTCTAAGATTTAAGTTAAGATCTATATTAAGAATCGCGGGGTTACCGCTATTATACAAGTAGAATAAGATATTTATAAGAATGTGCTACAGAAGGCCGGATGGGCATTGCCTAGGCCTTTTTTGTATTTACAATATTTGTTTCTACAATAAAAAGAGAAGATCCAGCAGCCGTTAATCTCGGTTTTCTAGACCGAAGCCGCTGTTTCCTTGAAATAGCTCCTCAATTATGCTCACGAGGCTGAGTGAAACCCGTTCTAGACCCACTACTTCTCAGAAAATCTGGTAGCGCAGAGAATCGAACCCGGAACCTCTGGATTTGTAGCCAGGAACTCTGACCACTATACCACATAGGTGGCCTGTCTTGCGGCAACACTGAAGATATATATGTGGGAGGTGTTCGGTTCGGATCTCAACCGGGACACTAGCGATTTTGCTGGGCCTTCTTTGGTTCTCTCCATCCCCCTCCAAACCAGTGCCGAGGTTGTAGTTCGATTAATTCAAGAGCGCTTCCTTCCAAATCCTTTCCAATTCTAGCTTCATATGCCACTTCCATACTGACCTCGTTAAATAAGCAAACAGAAAATTGGAATTTCCAGACAAAATCAAAGTCACGTCTCGCCTGACGGACAGTCAATCAGACTGTCTTGGTGCCGGGTTCATGATCAGATATCGGTTAGTGTTTCCGCTGACGAGAGGACGGGTCTGTCATTTGTCACAGCCACAGTCAGCATTAACGAGTCAGCTATCTGTATGCACAAAATAATTACAGGTTACATGTTTCTACATGTTATGAATACATATATATATAATATTGTCATGTATAGGGAGTTATGAGCGGTAGCGTAGTTGGTTGAGACACTATGCTACAAGCCGGAAGGTCGCGGGTTCAAGTCTCGATGATGTCATTGGATTTTTTTAATTTACCTAATCCTTCCAGCCGCATTATGGCGCTGGGGGTCGACTCAGCCTCTAACAGAAATGGGTACCAGGATTGTTCTTTGGGGTAAAGGACGGCCGGCGCGTAGGGCTGACAACCTTACCGCAATCTGTAAGCCGATTGTCTAGAGAATGTAGGAGCCTCGACGTCTCACAACCATATGGGCCTCCACGGCTTGTTACAGGGATACGTTTACTTTACTTTTTTTATAGGGGTTATGTGCGAATAATAATAATAATAATAATAATAATAACGGGTTCTGGATTAGATGACTGGGTTTATTGGCACTTCTATCACAGTTATTCCTAATTACAGTCATTATAACAGCTCACAATCGGTGACTGCCCAAGACTCGCTCCGTTCGTTACTGGACTACAAGTGTCTTCTCTTCTGCTGTGACTGACTTGGTTCTGAATTACGAAGCGGCCATCTCTGCAGCTTCCGTTTTCCGCTGGTTAACACTCCATAGCTGAACACTCAACTTTTGAATTCTCCTGAGCGACGACTGTCTTACGAACGAACAGGTTGATGACTCCAGTACGAATGCTGCTCTAACTCACGAATGAACCCTCTTTTATAACTCGAGGAGAACCTACGAGAGACCACTATCGCCAACAGTTCGTGTAGTGGTTCGTTTTTATTCGATGCCACGGGAATAAGCTTATCGAACCGTTTTCTAGCACTGTACTGTTCCGCGTCTACTCGTAATGCAAACGTGTGCTACTTCCATAGCAGCGAAGGCGTTGTGTCGGAACCGTGTGTTAGCGAACCGTTGCCCAGTAAATGCGTCTATTCTTGTTAGATTATTCCGGCTTTCAGCCGTCATTTCATAACACATACAAGGCCTCTGTCAATTCAGGCTCAGTACAGCAGATTATGCCCTATCTTTAGTAGCTTCAGGTACAACTGCAGTATAGTCACTTGAACGGCCGTATGCTTGATCACCGACAAGTTTAAGTCTCTCATGTTTTATGCGTCGGGCTTCGCCTCGTCCCATGTTGCGAATATTTGCATTTTATAATTCTTTTATGACTTCTGTTTGTTGCCTATATAATTCTGTCATATAATCGTATATGTACGGAAGTTCTAAAGCCATATGTGAACCACGAACCGGTGTGCGCCTTGGAAAATTGTCAGTGGTGAGGAGAACTTCGTTTTGCAGGCGCTGTAATTTCAGTAGATGGTTGTCTGCCGCGAATTCCCAGGCTGTGCAAGCATAAATCAATGTTCTCCTAATGAGTACTTTGTGGAGGATCAATTTACAGTTAGCGCTTAATCGCTCTCTTTTAATAAGGAATGTATTTTAATAAATATTCTTAAGGCCTTGGCTTCGATCATTTCTATGTGTAATTTTCATGTAACTCTCTTATCAAATATTACACCGAGATATTTTACATTGTTTATAAATGGAATATTTCGTCCATTCAGTGTAAGATGGGACTCAGTTGGTCGACGACTACGAGAGAAGTAGATCCCCTGAGTTTCATCCTCATTAACTTATTCCAGTGCTCACATCAGGTCTCCATTGAGCTGAGACCACGCTGTAGTTTTCTGACAACAAAATTCTCCTTTCGGTCTTTCGCATACAGAGGAGTGTCGTCGGCAAAGAGGGCTAGATAAACGCCATGTGTTTGGGAGGCGTCATTTATATACATGTACAAACTGGGGGATAGGGTAGAGCCTTGAGGCACCCTTCTTGCATTTCCCTTGAAGTAGACATTTCGCCATCTACCGAAACACTGAAGGGAGCACGCGGTAGCGTCGTTGATTGAAGCACTATGCTACAAATCGGAATGTCGTGGGTTCGATTCTTGACGAGGTCATTGTATTTTTTCAATTGATTTAATCATTCCAGCCACACTATGACCCTGGGGTCGATTCAGTCTCTAACAGAATTCCCAGGGGGGGGGGAAAGAGCGGCCGGCGCTAAAGCTGACAAGCTGTTTAGAAAATGTGGGAGCCTCGACGTCTCACAACCCTATGGGCCTTCACGGGCTGTTACAGGGATAATTGTACCCTTTATCGAAACAGTGAATTTGCGTTCTGAGAGAAAGGAACTAATGAGCTTGATCAAACTGGTCGAAAATCCAAATTCAGATAACTTATATAGTAAACCAAGGTTCCAGATGGTATGAAAGGCTTTTCGATATCCAGGAACACCACGGCCGTAGGCACTTTATTGTTAAAATTAAAGGTCACGTGGTCCATTAGCTTCATATATTGTGGTGTCGTGTTGTGACGTGAATGGAAACCAAATTGGTTTTTCTTAAACGGGCCTCTTTCTTCAATGTACTTTTGGACATTCTTGAATAGTTTGCCTGTTGTGGGCAAGAGGCTAATCGGACGAAAACACTGATAGAATTTTGGGCCCTTACCGGTTTTCGGTAACGTTATGACTTGTACTTCCTTCCAAGGCCTTGGAAAATAGGATAGCCGAAGGCAGTGATTAAATGAATGCCTTAAGTGTACCCAATGGTCTTCTTGGAGGTTTCTGAGGCATTCATTTGGGGTGCCATCAATTCCACAACCCTTTTATAATTTCAAAGAATTTCTTAATACCTGTAAATCACGTGGTTTACCTTTGGGAAGGGGAACTGTTTTCTGTGGATTCGAGCAAAGCTTGAACTCTAACCTCCACCCGCCGTCCATGGTTTTCGTCACACAAATCATGGGGTGTGAAGTGATTTTTCAAGCAGTGGGCAGTTGCATTGGTTTTCTCGGAAGGACGAAATTTAAGACCTGAAGGACCATGAATAGCAGTTTGTGTCCTTGGTTCATTTCTTTTTAGGAAGATATTTCGCAATGAGGTATACAACCTGAGGTGAGACTTCAAGAATTACCTATTTTTATTTCCCACTGTTCAACTGCCTCTTTGCGGGTCATCGTGCTGATTGATTTCGTGACCCAATTAACTGACGTTTTACAAGCTGGATCCCCGGTTTCTTGCCATAATTTTCTTAGCCTCTGCTTCTTTTGTATCAACAGATCTAACCCAGGAAGATCGTTGTTTATGCCCGAAAGTGTAACTTCACTGGTCGACAACCTATATGCCGAAGTAACAGAGGCTGTAAAGTCACACGCCGCTTTATCGACTTCTACCCCTGAGTTAATTTGAATTCCGGGTGATATTAATTCAGAGACGAGGCTTTGAAACCGATCCCAATGTGTGAATTTTTCAATAGATCCCAAAAAGATTAATAATTTTGACACAGTCCAGTATGTGGAATACTATTGGTAGAAGATCTGAGTTCCAAATATCAGAAAAAATCACATGACATTCTGATATTTTGGTGGGCCACAGAATCCAGCACGTCACCTTTCCCCCAAGAGAATAATGAGTGGGACATTGTGGTGCCGAAATTTCGAATTCGTTCAGGTCCAATAATGCCACGAGTTTCTCGCCTGAAGGGTTTGAAACTGCACTATTCCAAAATGGCTGTTTAGCATTCAGATCACCTGCCAAAATGGACTTAGGTCTAAAGCTTAAGAGCTCAGTAATATCAGCATCATTCCCTGCACGGTCCGGAAAATTGTAAACAGACACGAACAGTGTATCATTCTTACTAATAAATATGCAGACCCCTATCGTTTCCTCTGCAACAGGCGGTGGTAGGTCTACATGGTTGTGGGGAATGTCTTTTCTAACTGTAACGGCAGTTCCGCCTTTTCTGCCCGGGTAGCGGCCGGTTCGATAAAAGTGATAATTTGGAATAAAGTACGTACCTTTCATGAGAGTTCAGACGTGTCTCTGAAAACAGGGCCACGTCTGTGTGTTGGGCTTGCAGCTGTTTACTGAGCTCATAGCGCTGCCTCGAAATGCTATGACTTTAAGGGGCCTGTGAATTCTAGTGGCCATTTTGCTTCATTAGGTTTAAGACAATTTTCTTATTGTCCACTGTTTTCTCCTCTTCTGATACAGCACCATTGAACTCTGTCATGACCTGCTGCTCTACATCTGCGACTCTGAACATTTTGTCTAGACACACACTGCTTACATTGGGGGCCTGGACTGGCTGATTGCGATTTGTTGTTGACGCACTGTGGGTAACGGGGCTTCCATTCTGATCACAGGGAACTGTTGCTGCTGGGGATTACTGTGTAGAGCCGCTGCAAATTACACGTACTTGTGTTGGAGGGGACAGAGCAGTACCCAAATGCCAGTGATATGATAGCATACCTTCTTTCCTATCGTGCTCTCGGCGCTGGGTGCCATTTAGTACATACGAATAGTTACTTATATCTGAATAGAGATGGAAGCAGTAATGCCCTCGAGACTCTCGACACGCTCGTGACGTAACGGCGGACAAGCGGTCCTCGGCGCCCTCGGCGTGCTGTTGTACGTTGGTGACGGTTGGGACCGTTGGGACCGGTGGTGAGCTGTAGCGCCGTGTAGGACGTATATTTGTGTTGTGTTGACAGGCAAGTATGGATTTTGATTTTTATGTTTTGAAACGGGGATCGATGTTTATGCACGAAGTTACATATCCATGTTACATATTTTATTTCTTCATGTGAATGCTATGCTTACTACGCCGAATGAAATTAGAATATCAAGTTAAAGTTATTATTATTTCATCCAATTCATATTTGTGTTATGACATATTAAGCATCTTTCGGTTTAGCCAAAAGAAGGTCTGTAGAATCTCAAAAAAGACTCTAAGTGTACTGTGATTGTGTTATAATCTTTGTATTGTTTGTTGCAGTAAAAATGGAAACCAAGAAACAGAGAAGGAAAGTATGCTGTGTCCCTGGGTGCCGGTTATCTAATAGGCATCTAGCCCAGGAGGGAGAGAAATTCTTCCACTTTACCAGGGTTCCAGCAATGTATGTTTTAATTCATGATGTAGTGGCTTCATTATGTGTTGCTTAATCCAACGAAGAAATTAAGTTTAGTCAATGTCTGTATTAAGGGGGCAAACGGTAGTGTAGTTGGTTGAGGCACTATGCTACAAGCCGGAAGGTAACGGGCTCAAGTCCCGATGAGCTTATTGAATTTTTTCCATTGACCTAATCCTTCCAGCTGCACTGTGGCCTTGGGGTCGACTCAGCCACTAGCAGAAATGAGTACCAGGAATATTCTTGGAATATTCTTGGGGGNAGAAGGTAACGGGCTCAAGTCCCGATGAGCTTATTGAATTTTTTCCGTTGACCTAATCCTTCCAGCTGCACTGTGGCCCTGGGGTCGACTCAGCTTCTAGCAGAAATGAGTACCAGGAATATTCTTGGAATATTCTTGGGGGTAAAGAGTGGCCAGCTCATGGGGCTGACAGCCTTGCAGCCATCTATGAGCTGGTTGTCTAGAAAATGTGGGAACCTCAAGTTCTCACAACCCTATGGGCCTCCACGGCAGGTTACATGGATGCCTTTACTTACTTTACTTAATGTCTGCCTTAAATTTATAAAACTTAACATCATGATAATGAGTGAATGAGACGTGTACATAGATGAATAAGGCTTGGTGAGGTTTAGTGTGATCAGTTCTACACATTTTGGTTTTGTAGGAAAGAATGGTAGGAAAAAATAGTCATTATTGTTGTGTTTTAACATGTAGAAGCTACTATAAATGTATTACAGGAAATATGTTTTTTGTTCCCAAGAAGCAAGAAGATGTAAGTACCACTAAGCATTTTAGTGATACATTGCATTTCATTGTGCCATAAGGTAATGTCACTGTACTTAACTAATTAAGTACTACGCCTTCACAGCCAGTTGCTGTACTGACTGTGCTAGCCAGGCTCCTTTCAGTGTGCAATTCTGTGTGTAAACACAACAGTATCATGTGAATTATGATTCAGTAATTCCTCACATTAGGTTCCATTGAGAATCGTATCTTTGACACAGGCCAGATATATCGGTGTGAGCGAGATATTATATATGATTTGTTTTCAAGTGAGAGATTGTATATCATTAGACAGCAGAACAACCCATATTAAAATGACATAATTCTAGTTAATATCATTTACAGAATAAAACATAGAAAGTATTTCCAAGTGTTTATATTGTAATGTGGTGAGCTGGGGTAGCGCAGTCAGTATAGCGACTGCCTACAGGCTGGACAACTGAGGGGTCGGAGTTCGAGTCCCAGGAGGATCAAAAAATTTTCTTCACATTGTTCAGACTGTCTCTAGGGCCCACAGAGCCTCCCATCCAATTGGTACTGGGAGCTCTTTCCCCAGTGGTAGAGTGGCCAGGGTGTGAAGCTGACCACTCACCTCTAACTAGTGCTGAAGTCAAGAAACTGTGGGTCTATACATCCACTCCCCCATGGCGTAGTGCTTAATTAGTTATGCACAATCACAGCTTTTTTACTTTATGTATTGTAATCTAAATGAAATGGATAGTGGATTTAATTCAAGGATATCAGGTTACTGTGTCTTGTTTTGAAGTTTACTTCTTACATTTGAGGATGCAGGTTTTAGCAACTATGTTCTAAATATCTTTGATATTTGATTTGAAGAATAGCATTTGTAATTTGAACAGACAGTGATTTGATATATGCAGGTGAAGATGGAATTCAGCTGCTTTAAAAATTATCGTCAGTTTCAAGCTATGTTGTTGTTGGTTCATTCTGTACCCATTGCAATTGCTTTTGATCTCTTCATCAGATTTAGGGCTTCCTGTATTTTATTTATTTTGTTTCCTGATTTTCCTTCCATAATTTGTTTACTTCTTAATTTTAAACTTTTTGGTTTTATTAATTAATTTTTTTTTTTAATTCAGTTTCTTTCATTGTGTCCAAACTGTCTACTCAGTTATGTAGTCTTTGACACTTTCATTTATAATGTACACCCCTAATTTTTTCTGATGTCTTTGCTTTTATTCTGATCCCAGTGTGATATTCATTCCAAATCTCTGCTGATAACCAATTTTATTTTATCTTTTGTTATCAACACTGTTTAACTCTGGAAAGGAACAAGACTCAATCTGGTATACTCATTCTGAGCCAGTATGTGCCACAGGATCTGTACTTCACCTGGATTGGAAATTTTCTACCTTGATAAATGAACTTCATACATTCTGACTTTTTAACTTTTGTTTGCGTCGGTTTTGTTAATTCTGGATAAGTTTGATGTTTATAAATTAATAATGTCTACAAGGCCTCTACCAGGAACCCAAGAGGTATCACACTGAAAGAAACTTAATGTTTTGGGCATTATCACTTGTCTGGGAGTTAGAGACACACAGTTATTCCTGCATAACTATATACACATATGATAATATTAAAATGGATCTCAGGAAATAAGGTGCGAAGCAAATAAAGATTGATGGTGCGCTCTTGTTAACATGGCAATGAACTTCTGGAATCCTAGATCAGGAAATTTCTGCACTGGCTGAGGTCTAGTTATCAAGAAGGCTGTACTTCATACAAGTTTCAATTGCTTTAAATGTAACTGAAATGTTGTAAGTTCATTTATTTTTCAAGAGGTTGTTGATAATTTAATTCCTGATTCATATCAATTGTTACTTCAGGGCACAAAAATGGGTCCGTGCTGTAAATAACCCTAACCTGGTTGTTGAAGAAGCACATATGTACCACAGAAACAAGTGTGTCTGCCACCGTCATTTTGCAACATCCCAGTATAATACTCCTGAAAGGTTGCACCTCAATCGGAATGCTGTACCCACACTATTTTTGCCATCATCTGATAGTACTGAAGATGGCCTTTCAGAATCAGATCCGTAAGTTTTTCTGTCATCATTAAGGTTGGTAATTTGCTTAATGATTTACATGATTCTGTAGCCTCATGATGCACACTGAGCATTTTGTCAGAGGTACATTATATTAGAAGGCTGAAAATTATTCACTTTTTCTTGTAGGTTATTGAATTACATTGAGTTCAATTCATACTCAGTGTTAATTCCATTACACAGTAGCAGGTTTGAAAACTGACGTTAAAACAGAAAACTTATTATAGATAGTTTTTATAACTTCAACTAGGAAAAGATCACTTTAAATTTATGCTTATTCTGGCATTATGATGTGCCTTTTATAAAATTACTGCATGACTTATTTTTTTAAATCACTGTACCTTGTCAAATTTAGCTTAAGCATTTTGAATTAGAGCATGAATGGGGGAGAAGAGGAATGCATTTAGGATATTGGTGGGAAAGCCAGAAAGAAAGAGACCACTGGGAAGACCAAGGCTTAGGTGGTTGGAAAATATTAAAATGCATCTTAGAGAGTTAGGATGGGATGGTGTGGATTGGATTGATCTGGCTCAGATAGGGACCAGTGGAGGGCTCTTGGCAACACATTAATGAACCTTTGGGTTCCATAAAAATGCTGGGAAATTCTTGAGTAGCTGCAGAATTGGCGGCTCCTCCAGAAGGGCTCAGCTCCATCAGTAAGTAAGTAAGTGAATTTGAATTAGAATGACATTGCAATATTTTTTTCTCATTCTGTTTCTTGGCTGAATTTCTTTATGTCCTAGGCATATCATGAATACTTGTCTAGTTGCTAAGGCTTTTTAACAAAAGCATAAGAATCAATTTGCTTGCCTAATTTACCTTCTTTGCGTTCTCAATATGTAATCTGAGGGTAGGGTGAATAGCATTCTTCATGTAATGTGATATTAAGTGTATCAGGAATGGAGTTCCTCTATGTTATGTCATGACTCTTATCGTGAAGTTGCATGGATCTGAATGTATGATTATTTTTTGTGGGAATGTGTTTGGATCTCAGAAAACACCCTTTTCAGCATCTGTTGTAATGTTAAGTAAGTAAGGTGGCTTTGGCCGGTCACAGTAACCATGAGGTCTAAAGCATGTACTGTCTTTGCTCACCCGGACGCTGGGATCATGGGTTCGAATCCCACTCAAGGCATGGATGTTTGGTGTGTGTTTATGGTGTCCTGTGTTTAGATAGTGGCCTTGTGATGGGTCCTGCCATCTGTGAAAAAATGATTACAGAACTGAATAAGAGGCCTGGGCCCTAAAATGGGCAGGAAGAACCATTGTAAAAAAAAAAGTAAGATGGCTTTACTAAAAACGTTTGTTTGAGCATGGACAGAACTTCAAATTACGACTGTGCATTAGCGTGTTACTTTTTAGCAGATTGAAGCCGCCCACCAGCTGGTGACCTGCACTGTAAACCAGCAGTATCAAGAGCACACAGAAGGGAATGAACCTGTCTGTTTTGCATTGCATTGTATAAAAACTAATTACAACTTAATTCAGTTAAATGTCAAATGTGGATTTAGACTGTTCAATGCAATGCTATTGATTATATGCATTTGTTTTAATTATGTAAGGTTTGAGGCTTTCACGGCGGTGACTATGAAGAAAGCAGTCTTCTGGGATTTGGCACCACATATACACGGTGCCAAATCCCAGAAGACTGCTTTCTGTTTTAATTATGGTCTCAGTGAAGGTGTAATGTCTTCTCATTGTAGATACAGTAAGATTGCAGAGTCAGGCGTCCAGGATGAACGTGAGTCTAGAGAGGATGGTGTTAAGGAATCGACAGGTATTGATATGTATAAAATTATAAGACAAACTAAAAGTTTACGTGTATTTTAATGAAAGAGATGAGCTGGGATGACCACAATTTTATTAGATTTCAGTGGTTAAGATGTGTAATACCCATTCTGAGTGGCAGACCAATGATAATACAGTACTTATTAGAAATGGTATGTTCTATGCACCATATTAATCTGACTATGAGATGACCTCCCGTTGTAGTGGGAAATAACAAAAAAAACAAAAAACATCTGTAATTGTTTAAATAAAATTCTCATATACTTTGCTTCAGCACAGGTATGTCTTAATGTCACACTTTCTTTTTCCAAATGGTGTGAAATAATTACATAGACTCCCAGCTAACCAGAAGCAAATTATCTGGGTTGTGGATTATCCAGAGCGTCTGTTTAGGACACTGACTAGTGTGACCAATGTTAAAAGGTAAACTACATGTGCAAATTTATATTTTAAATGGAACAAGTGAAGGCAGTTTCATTTCTCTTTTGTATAAGTACTTGCAAACCTGAGAAACCTTCCTTTGAAGGGTTTTGTCTTCAGGTATATAACCCCATGTAGCCCATTGAAATTGAATCATTGTTTTGGCTGTTGCTTGTATCATGCTGGTTTCATGCTTGGCTTACTTTTCCTCTGGAACATCGATTGACTTGCAAAGGACTATGCAGAATTATATCCCATAAGGAATAAGTCTTCCAGATAATATTCAAGAAATGAGAGAGAGAGAGAGAGAGATATGGGTGGGATAATGGGGAAGTGGATCTCACAGACTAGCCTGGGAGAATTGCATGGATTCAACTGGTGATTTAAGGTGAGGTCTGATAGTGGACATGTGTAAAAACAATATTAAACTTTTGGATCCCATAATAGTATGCAACTTCTTTACCAACTGAGTAACTATCAGCTTTTTTTGGGGAAATGGGTGCACCATGTTGTTAGTGAATACAGCTTTCCATATAGTAAATGGACAGAAGAAACATCGTGTGTGATGAATGTAATATTGCCTCACTCTGCTCTGTGCAAATTAAATGTAATAAAGAAGGTGGCCAAAAATATAATTTTTTGAATCTACAAATACAGGTCCAATGTTAAATACATTTTCTTCTTTCTACTTCGCATTTCAGAAGTGGAAATTCTTTCTGTGCCAGACTAAGCCAGTCTGAAAGGTGTTTTTCTATTTTCCTCTGTTCCTTGAGACATTTGTTTGCCATGATCATGACCATTTCCTTCTGTCATCCACAGTCGTTACTGTCATAGTAGAAGTATGAAATATTAACCCATAGTAATTAACATTTCTTTAGATTTTTGTAGTATAGCTAATCATTTGGCTGGTCTGGCTGTACAGATGCAGTGCACTCACACTGCTCATGTTGGACTTTTGGTGTAATTCACAAGCCAATAGCCAATTTATATAGCGTCTCCTCTTCAGTATTGCCCCAGTATTAAACATTAAATCAGTTGCATTGCTGCTTGTGTCAAAATACCGAGTGAGGATGTTACATTTCCAAATAGAGAAAACTATTCATGGAATCATACATAAATTTAGGTAAATGGGGCTGATAATGTACTGAACACTGAATTATTGCCAAAACTTAATGAAATCAGTGATGGGCTTGAACATTTTCCTTGAGCCTGTCTTATATCCCTTGCAGAGGTACCAAAGTTGGACGTTCTGGGTTTCAGGTTTCAAGTTTGTCCTGTTTCTGGAAAGAAACTTAAATATGTGAGTGGGAACTTTTTACAGAGATGCAAAAAAGAGGTTGTGGAACATCAGTGATCATTTCCATCGTCAATGTTGATGGATTTTTTGGATTTTGTGGCCCATAGGTTTGTCAATTGCACTGTGGGTCTGATCACACATAGAAAGTGTCGGTGTGAGGAGCCTGTATCTCCGTTGTTGGACTGGCCTAATGATTTGCAATGGGATGTCACATTATCTTCCTGTGCTTTTGTTATATTTAGGTAAGCATGACGAGGCTGGAAGTCAATTTCTTGATGATCTGTACAGTGGGATGTATATGGATGAACACAAAAATATAAGTAATTTACAGCCACTGCATAAGGATCAAGATAGAGTGGAAGTGCCAGCACAGGAAGATACTAAATTGAGACAAGATATTTTGACGGAAAATGATAGAGCACAGCACCATAATTCAAATGGAACGCAAACTAATCACCAGAATCACTGTAGAGAACCAGTGACACCTGGTGGCACTGCAGTGAATGAGAGAGAGATAACTGAAACTTGTGACATCACATCTGATCATGGTGACACTGATGAAAGCAGAGATGTAAAGTTTATTACAAATGAGCCTTGTACAGTAGCAGTAGATTCATGGGAAAACCTACCAAATCAACTGTGCCGACTCTGTGCGTCTACAGATGAACATCCAAAGCAGTCAATTTTTGGCTGGATGAGTATGCTAAATAAAATAATTCCAGATTTGGTGAGTTATCCATCTCTGTTTGCTTACCATTATTAATCTGCGTGTTTGCATAAATTACGTGTAAGTGATGCATTCTGTATTACGGGAATCAGTGCCCGTGCTTGACCTGCATTATTTTCCACCGAGATCAATATAGTTGAATTAGGATTAAATATATGGTAACTTTCCAAACACAAACATTCCTCTCTTCAGTGGGAACAATTTTCCAGCCACCTTTTGTTGTTAATGCATGGTCAGATCAATATGTTTAGGACAGAAGGAAATAACATACAGAGAAAATAGGACAGAAGGAAATATCTTGACATACATGTGCACCGTTGTTAGGCTACCATATGATTCTCACTTCTGTATGGTGCTTGCAGAAACTGTTGAGGGACTGTCAGTAAGTAAATGAGCAACAGAGATTTGTTCTTAAGAAGCAAAATTATGTTTCTTTTCTATGTTGTATATTTAATGGTGTCATTTTATCTGATCATAAAAGTGTCGATTGTTAGGATGACTGGTGAACAATGCATTGAAAAGGATTTAGAACACATTGCCTTGGCTTAGTTGAGGTACTATCCTGGCATTTTTCTGGGGGAAAACCATGAAATACCTTAGTCAGAATAGCCCATATCCTAGCTGAGATCTGAATTGATCATCTGTAAGATGGAAGTCTTGGAGCATTACTGCTACTCAGATCCATTTGATAGATGACATGGAAGTTTCAAAATAGTATCAAGTTAAATTCTGAATCGAGTTTTCAGCTTCGGAAGGCTTACATATTCGCAATATTTTCCTCTTTGCCATAGTGTCAAGACTGGATCTGGGGCCCATTCGGGGCATGAAGCTGATCACTCACCTCCATCCAGTGCTGAAGTTGAGAATGGTGTAGCTATACCTCCACTTCTTCATATGTCTTCATGGTGTGGCGCATCATTAATTAAGCACAGGATTGACTTGATCTTTACCTTACAGTCAAATACTGTCAGTGAGAGATAAGAATAGAAGAAATTTGATACACAGACTCTGTTAAATACCATGAACAGGTGCTAAGAGTAGAAGAGAATACTAGTCACATTTTTGAAATAAATAGGTACAACTGGATTCCACCAGATAGTCACTGGAAGAAAAGAGGATTAATTGATTCACTAAAATTATTGACTGTAAAAGGTAAAATTGTTTGTCTGCTTAACTAATTAAGCACTGCCCCATGAAGGCATAGGGGGAATGGATGTATAGATCCACATTTACTTGACCTTGGAATTTTTGTTATTGCTAGTGGGGTCCCTTGTACTGCGGCCACTTCTGGCCTATTGTACCAGCCCCAGATGATAGGTGAGGGTGATTGTGGAGCAATTGGTGGAATGAAGATTGGCAGGGGAAACCGAAGTACTTGGAGGAAACCTGCCCCAGCGCCATTTTGTCCACCACAAATCCCACTTGACCAAACCCTGGCCGCCGCGGTGGGAAGCCAGTGACTTAACTGCTTGCGCTATGGTGCTGACCTTGGCATTACTTGATGATGAGTGGTCAGCTTCACACCCATGCCACTTTACACCCAGGGAAAGAGTCCCTGGTACCTGTTGGATAGGAGGTTGGGTGGACCCCAGAGTTGGCCTGGATGATGTGGAGGAAAGTCTTGACTCTTCTGGGACTCGAACTCTGACCCCTCGGTCGTCCAGCCCATAGCCAGTCACTATACCGTCTATGCTACCCTGGCTCCTAAAATTACTGACTGTATTTTTATAAGTTTATATACACATTTGCTTATGCGAGGTGTGAGGAGATCACATGTGGTCTTGGTTGGCTGTTCACTTGTCAGCTTGTTGTGATGAATACTGACACTTTCAGCTCCGTAATAAACCTGTTTTATTTTTTCTGGATGGTTTCTGTCTTATTGTATTGTATTCTATGCTTCTTGCTATTCTGACTGATAATTCTTGGTATTTTAGTGCTGTAAGAATGGTTAGGTGGTCTCTAATTCTTTCTGCATTCACATGGGATGTTTGTGTGCAACTTTTAGTTTCCTGTATCTCATTTCTTGGTTTTGTTCTTCTGACTTTGCTGCATAGCTCTTCATATTGTCCTGTAATCCCTTGAGTGACTGACCGGTGGCTACAGTAACGGCAGTGATGGTCAACAGATGCAAGCCTGATTCCAGATTTCATTATTTTCCCGTTTTGGTTTTGTAGACCTCTGTTTGTAAGTGTCGTATTATTGTGTACATGTGCTATGTACGTTGTATGTCCAAGTATCATTGTACACATATATTATTGTCAGGAATAAAACAAGGACACCAAAATGTGGTTATTTTGAAACAAACACAGTAAATGGTTGTAAGCAATCTGGAACCTAGGAGGCATTTTATCAGATGATCTGAAGATTGCAAAAGCTTCACAGTATTTCAGTGATCATGGACACACCTGTAGTACATTATTATACTGACATTTAATAAAGATATTTCAGTAGTTCATGATATACATGATGGTACTGAATTACCTTTTACTGTGGCTGGCTGTATCACCTATATAAATAGTATTGGTGGAGGAACATAGACTGAGGGTGTTTGAGAACAGGGTGTTGAGGAGAATATTGTGACATCTTGCGCAATGGAGGACAACTCCTCCCTCCCCCAGCAGTGACGTGGCAACTCTGGCCACGGTGACGTGGCGGGTGAGTCAGCGTCCCCCCCCCCCCGCACTGTGACATGGCACGCAACGCTGCTGTCGACACGGCATTAGGCAACAGCGGTACTCATTATGTAACAGGCAGACATTGCGACTATATAAGGGAACTACACAGCTGCCGAAGGCAGTTAAAATGTGTATCAGTGGCTAAAGACAGTCCTCCAGTCAGCAGTGTACAAGTTAAAGTGTACCAGCTGCCGAAGTTAGTTCTCAAGACAGCTGCCTACGAGTTGAATTGAATTGTGGTAGTCACCGAGTTGTAACGAGTGAATCGTGGTAGAGTGGACAGATTGGTGTGTAGGGTTCTCACGTGTGTAAACTCGTAACATTGTTATAATTAATTGTAGCCGATACCTGTAGGTTGTTAAATAAACCAATTAACAATCTGAACGGTGTCTTCAGTAACGAAACACGGCACAATATTTTGACCGAAGAGAGATAAGTGATGGGAGGTTGGACAAAACTTCATAATGAGGAACTTCATAACTTGTACTCTTCTCCAAGTATAATTAGAATCATCAAGTCTTGGTGGATGATGTGGGCAGGGCATGTAGCACGAATGGGGGCGATGAGGAATGCATATAGGATATTGGTGGGAAAGCCAGAAGGAAAGAGACCACTGGGAAGACCAAGGTGTAGGTGGGTGGACAATATTAAAAGGGATCTTAGAGAGATAGGATGGGATGGTGTGGTTTGGATTGATCTGGCTCAGAATATGGACCAGTGGAGGGCTCTTGTGAATATTTTAATTAACCTTTGGGTTCCATAAAAATGCTGGGAAATGCTTGAGTAACTGCAGAATTGGCAGCTCCTCAAGAAGGGCTCAGCTCCGTGCGTAAGTAAGTAAGTCATGGTGATATCAAATTTTACACTGTCCCTTAGAATTGTATCTCAGGAATTGGAATGATGAAACAAGGATTTAGTTGGAAAATTTGGACTGCATCATAATTGGGATCATTGGACAAAGGGGTCATGTTTCTTTATTTGTTTATTTATTTATGACATACTTATCAATTAATAAGTATAAGTGAGGATGCCTGACATCAGATTTATAAATACCATCATTAGCATTGAGACGTGTACTTTCAGACAGATATAGTGAACATCCCATGTATAGTTTCTTTGGGGATTACTGAATTTGGATACTAAATTGAGGAACTGTATCACTGAAATTATTGACTTTTGATCATTGAAATTGAGGGAAAAGGAATGATTATTGGCTTTGGATTATTGAAATTGAAATGTTACATAAGGTAAAAGGAATATATTAAGGAGTATTAATGGGAGTTCTGCTGTAGTGAGTAATATTTGTTTCTCATAATTGTGTAAGTATTAATGTAATTTTTTGTAGGTTGCCTTGGATGATGGACTTCCGCAACATATATGCCGGCCTTGTACAAACAAGCTATATACTTGTACTAAAATAAAAGTAGATTTTGTTGAAGCATATAACAAGCTCCAAGAAAGCTGTGGATTTGCAAGGTCACCAGGAATTCAGTTCACAGATATTCCATTAGCCATGTCTGATTACCCTAAAGAGCAGTTAGTATCTGAGACTGAAGAGCAGTTAGTTTCTGAGACTGAAGAGCAGATAGTGCCTGATGCTGAAGAACAGTTAGTGTTTGAAGATGGAGTACAGTTAGTGTCTGAAATCCCTTCTGAAGGCCTTTATACAGTTACACCAAGCTCTAATAAGGATAGTCTTGAAGGCAAAAAGATGACCTTAAATACTGGAGGTCATTTGTCTTTAAATCTTGAAGAATATGCTATTTCAGCCACTCATGATGAGGCAACCGACCAAGGAAATTTTCCCCAAGGTAAAACACAGAGCATTGATGACACCTCAGGTGCATGTGACATAAAGGAACGGAAGGTAGGAAAGTATAAGTATGTATGTGGTGAGTGTGAGGAAATGTTCACAACAAAGGGAGCTCTAAGAGCACATAAATTTACCCATCGTAAAGTCTTCGAATGTGAATGTTGTAGGAAAACGTGTAGATCTGCAGCGCACTTAGATGACCACAGACGTATTCACACCAAGGAGTTACCATTCATGTGTGAGATGTGTGGAAAATGTTTCCGAAACACAATGAATTTACAAAGTCATAAATATGTTCATAAACCACGGATTTATGCTTGTGAAATATGTAATAAGAAATGTAGTGGTAGGTTTATCTTAAGACAGCACAAGAAGGTGCATTTTACAGACACAAAGCTGATATGTGAGGTGTGTGGAAAGATACTGTATACTCCCTTTAGCCTTCAGATTCACTTGCGAACTCATACTGGTGAAAAACCTTTTCAGTGTGATGTGTGCGGGAAATGTTTTATTTCTGCTGGAAAATTGAAGCATCATAGGGTTATTCACGCAGATCAAAGGTTCCGATGCATTACGTGTGGTAAGGCATTCAATTTCAAACAGTCATTAGTAGAACACGAAGAATGTCATTCTAAGCTGGAATATTACAGGTGTGTGATCTGTTTTAGAACGTATTCTAACTTAGGAAACATGAGACGTCATCGTAGGATATATTGTAAACAGCCTTTTTGTATTGTCTGCAATGAGACTTTTCTGACTGGCGAGATGGTAAAAGAACATCGGTCAAAGGAACACACTCAAGAAGAGATTACATTGGCAGCAAAAATTTATAGTCGACAGTGGTGTTGTAAATGTCCACTTTGTGCCCAGGTTATAACTGGTATAAATATGGTGATGCACATGAAGGAGTGTCACAGTGGTTACAATTATGAACCATTTGGTTGTGAACAATGTTCTGAAACATTTTCTTCTGTCAGTGCCTTGCATATACATACAAGATGTCATAGTGAAACCCATTTAATTGCGTGACTTGTAACGAGCTTAAGACAAAGAAGACATTCAAGTGGCATGATTTGTCATTCCAGAAGAATCATCAGAAGACTGTCTGACTTGATTGTGCATAAGAGGGAACGCTGGGGAAAGACGATTCTTTTGCCCAATGTGTATTAAGGAAGTTTTCACAAGAAGTGACATGTTAAGACATACAAAGAAACATTTGCAAAGTAGTTCAAATGTTGCACTGAAGTAAGTGATTGAGGAAACTATACATATGAGTGAAACTGTATTGTTCTGTAGTGTAGATGGAATTGCTCCACTCCAGTTACCAGTGAACCAATCTATTATGAAAATCATGACACTGGTGGCTACAGTACTTTTGTAGTTTCACATTCACAGTGGAGGCTATGTGCTGGTTGTTAGAATTTCTGATGGAAGTCACACAATATTACTGAATGTAATATCCTGAAATTTTCTGTAGCGAGATGTTTAAAAATTATATAACTCTTGCAGTTTTTTTTGTGTTTTTCTTTTTTGTAGATTTTTAATCAGTGTGGGACATAATCACACAGTTTGTCTGCCGTAAGAAATGAACCATTGGAACAAAGCCTGTGTAGTTTTGTTTGGAGATGGATTATAAACCCAGATTCCAGGCAAGACTTTATACCATGTAAGGAGTTAAACAGACGATGCCTCATAAGTTATATTTGCCAGGTTTTATGAAAATATGTATTGGTTTTTTTATAGCTAGTGGGTTGGGACTAAGCCCCTTGTACTGCGGCCACTTCTGGCCTATTGTACCAGCCCCAGATGATAGGTGAGGGTGATTGTGGAGCAATTGGTGGAATGAAGATTGGCAGGGGAAACCGAAGTACTCTGAGAAAACCTGCTGCAGCGCCACTTTATCCACCACAAATCCCACGTGACCAGACCCGGGGCCACCACGATGGGAGGCCAACAACTAACCGTTTGAGCTATGGCGCAGCCCTATGTATTGGCTGAATTTGATATTGATAAATGGAATGCAATATTATTTAATTATATAGTATTTTATATTGCGGTAGCATAGTTGGTTGAGGCACTATGCTACAAACCAGAAGGTTGCGGGATCGAATCCCGATGAGGTGGACGTCTTCACTTTACCTAATCCTTCCAGCCACACTATGGCCCTGGTGTTGACTCAGCCTCTAATTGGAATGAGTACCAGGAATATTCTGGGGGCAAAGGGCCACTAGCACATAAGGCTGACAACCTCACCGCCATCTGAGCCGATTGCCAAGAAAATGTGGGAGTCTCAACATCTCACAACCCTATGGGTCTCCACACCTGTTACAGGTATACCTTTATTTCTATATGTATATACAGACATAACCAATGCTTGACTGTCTGTGGTAATTTGGTAGGGGTGTGTAGCTAGATACATACGTAGAAACAATGGGTGTTCAAACAGCATGAAAATATTTTACCCATCCATGCTGCATTGAACCAGAAACCAGTTGCTATTTACTGGTCATGCAAATGGTCACTGAGCAGTGATACGCATCATAAGCACTAAATTACATAATTGCCTAAGAATCAAAGACATCCATGGCACGAAGTGCACGGGTGCCACATTTAGCCCTCCATACTACATATTTTCTAAGTTAGTGACACATCCAGGAAGACTGTAATTGTAATCTGTCGGATTGTCTGAGAAGTCAAAGTTTGAAAAGTTTTGAACTCCTGAGCATTTTTGACAATTTTGTAATTCATTCATTTCCTTTATTTTCCATATATCCATACAGGTAACAAACCTAGGATGTGGAAATGGTCCCTTTGAAAATATATTGTAGCGTGTCTTGAGTTTGAATCTTGTTGACCACGTGTATAAGTCCAATCCCACTTCTGACACCAATGTAGCGTGTTTTGCGTGTCACGCTACAAATAAATTCACGTAGATCAAAAAATTCTCTCCTACGGAAGTGCTCGGGACGAGCACAATACATATACAAAATTAAATGAGTCGCATAATCAAAATCACTTACCTTAATCAATTAACATAAATAAAAATATAAAGTAAAAAATTTATTAAGATTTTAATTAATAAACATATTATATTTAAGCATCCTGTTGCGCTCTATACTCTATGGGACGGTGTTTATGTCATATATTAATAAACATGATTTAAAAACAACTTACTGTGAAAGTTGAATTAATACAATTTTATTTAAATTACCTATGTTAACTGAATTAGATACATTACAAATTTACACAATTATGACCAATTATATTGATAATATTCATTTATGGAATAAAAAGAATGATATAAGAACCTCTTCAATGTAGATTTAAAACTTCTTTCATCAGTAGCCAACATTTTTATTATTTGTGGAAGATGATTAAAAACTTTTATACCTGATATGTACGCATCTTTATTGTATTTTGTTAGGTTAACTGCAGGTAAATATAAATTATTGAGGGCTGTAGTTTTCTATTTGTGAATCTCATTGTTACAATTAAATAAATGTTTATTATTAATTGTGTGTAAAAGTAATGAATATAGTATTGAGAGTAGAACGTCATTATTTCCAAATTCTTAAAAATGTCCCTACAAGACTCTTGGTCTAGAATGCGTTATAATTCTAATAACTTTCTTTTGCAATATAAAAACTTTAACACAAGAAGAGCCACCCCAAAAAATTATACCATAACTTATGATAGAATGTATGTGAGCAAAATAAATTAGCTTTAAGGTATCTAAAGGGACAATGTATTTTATATTTCTCAATGCATAACATGCAGTGGAAATTTTATTAATAACATAATCAATATGCTGTTTCCATGAAAGAGTATCATCAATAATTAATCCCAGAAATGTTGTCTCAGTCACATTTGTTAAATTTATCTGATCATAGTTAATTTGAGTAGTGATATAATAATTCATAGGTCGAAACTTGACATATTGAGTCCTATTAAAATTCAAGGTAAGCAAATTAGCATTAAGCCATGTATTTATATCTTCGAAGGTTTGATTAAGATTTATTTCAAAGTTATTAGTGTCAGTTACTATAATACTGGTGTCATCTGCAAATAATACCATATTATTTTTATTTATTTTAGGTAAATCATTAATATTGCAACGTTTCCCCTACAAATCTCGGCTACAATTAATTATAACAAAGTTGCAGGGTTTCACACTTTATAACCCTATTTGCAATAATCTGTTCACTCTGTCCTCAGTAGTCTACATGTTTCACAGTACGGAAGCTATACAAGTGTCACTGTGTTACACACTCCCAATTAATTCTCAGTTATCACATACTGTCACTGATTATCACACTTTTACTTGTTCACTGCTGACTGGAGAACTGTCTTCGGCCGCTGATACACTTTAACGCGTTCACTGCTGGCTGGAGAACTAACTTCGGCAACGACCACATTTCAATTGACTGTCATCGTAGGCAGTGTAGCTCTCTTATATAGGCGCAGTGCCCGCCTGTTACGCAATGGGTACCACTGTCGCCTGTTACCTGTGTCACAGCTGCGTTGCGCGTTATGTCACCATGTGGAGGGGGTGACGGATTGCTGACTCACCCGCCACGTCACTGCTGGGGGGGGGTTCTCCGTTGCCCAACATGTCACAATATAAAGCAGAAAAAACAAGGGACCAAGAATCGAGCCCTGTGGAACACTGCATTTAATTGTTTCCCATTTGGATGTTGTCACTGTCGATTCTACTACCCAGTACAACTCTTTGATATCTGTCAGATAAGGTCCTATAAGTGTTTTGAATTTTCCTTCAGTTCCATAGAATTTCAATTTATCCAATAATATTTTATGGTTAACACAATCAAATGCCTTTTGTAAATCAGAAAAAATGCCTCCCACCATTAACTTATTATTCATCGCAGTTAAAATATTATTTATCCATGTAAAAGCTGCCTTCTCAGTCGAGGAATGTGTCCTAAAACCATATTGTTCATGTACCAACAGATTATTTAGTTCAATATGAGTAATGAGTCTTGCATATATGAGTTTTTCAATGATCTTAGAAAAAGAAGTCAACAATGATATAGGTCTATAGTTGGATATATTATGAGTTTTCCGTTTTTTAAATAGTGGTTTAACTATGGCAAATTTTAATCTATCAGGAAAAATACCAGTATTAAGTATTGCATTACAAATATGTGTAAGTGGAGAAATTATAAATGGTGAACTTAATTTTATTATTCTGTTTGAAATTTCATTATATCCACTTGAGTTTTTAGTCTTTAATGATTTAATNCATTTTATTACTAGAATTGAGAATTATTCTATTGTATGATTTTTTTGCTACTATTATTACTTTTGGTAGTATTCTACAGTATTGTTTATAATATATTTTAAGATTTAAATCATCACTATGCATAATAACAAGAGTTCTCGCTTTCTTTTACACGAGGTCATTATCCCTTTGTAATCCATTTATTATTAATAATATATTTGATTTCCTTTTTTGGGAAACACGTAAAAACATCTTAAATAAGTATTATGAAAGTTATTAAACATATTAACACTATTATTCCCAAAAATATTGTCCCACTGTTCCCAACTTAATAACATTTGAAATTCAGCTATTTTTTTTTTATTAATGTTTCTAGCAAGGATAGATCCAAATGTATTATTAGGTACAGTAACATTCTTAAATGTTATGAACTGTGCATCATGATCAGACAGTCCATTAATACATGGTTTAATGATATAACTTCTGTCATCAATAAATATATTATCTATCAAAGTGGCTTAATTATTGGCAATTCTTGTAGGGAAATTTACAGTGTCTCTCAGATTGTAAGTATTTAACATGTCATCTAACTATGATTTCCTATTATTATTTTCTAGATAATTACTATTTATGTCACCACATAATATAAATTCAAAGTTATACCTATGAAGAAAATTAAGTATACAGTCCAGTTTGTCTAAAAAATAGTCATAATTGCCAGCTGGGGCTCTGTATGTACAGAGAATAATTTTCTTATTCGAAACAAATTTTATAACATCACAACTGTTATATTTTCCACAGTATTCTTTCTCTATAAATAATAGTTTCTTATTTTTCCATAATTTACAAATTTTGCTCAATTCATTGCTGTCTCGCAGTAGGTCCACATATTGACACTCCGCTCTTAACCAGGGAACGTTATTGGAACTCTGCCACAACATTCAGCTACGGTTGCTTGGATAAGCTTCTCATATATTCGTATAATGTAGGTCATGTAGGTTGCGTTTGAACCAGTTCGGGCTATTCAGAATTGTTCAGTGTTTGACACATCTCCACACTGCAGTACGCTTCTTCGCACAGAACATGAATTCCGTCTCTTTGTCTGAACTTGAAGCCTCCGTGTCCGGTGAAAAGTTTGAAAATAATGAAGCAGCCGATGTATTCGATGGTGGTCGCCTTGGTAGGGAGGAAGGGTCAGAGGAAATGATTTGGCTTGTTTTAGGTTTTGTAGAAGTTTCATACTTTCCATCCTGAATGTGAATTTCTCATTTGGCATCAGTGTTTTAACAGTGGGCAAAACAGAGTAGAAAAAAGCTAAATCTTCATCTTCTTGTGGCGTTGCCTTTTTCGTGCTGTGACTTTCCCTGATTGTAATGAAACTACATTCAACATCCATTAACTTTCTTTTACGCGAAGATGGGAGCTGTTGAGGAGGAACCATTGTTTCATTGGCAGTAGGAATATGGCAGTCTTCTTCAGTTTCACGATTATCTCCATCACATTCGTTTTCGGGTGAGTCCGGTTGAGTGTCCATGATACTACATGTAGGTCTTGGTTCAAAAGATTTCTTTAGAAAGGATAATTGCTTGCGGTATATGTATGTTTTCACTTTCTTGGCTTTGGAACCTGATTTTATGGATTGTTTTTTTATGTTTCTAACGTAGTTGTCTCGTACTGTTCTCCATTTTGATGCCACGTCTTGTACTAAAACAGCAGAAAAATAAAAGAAATTAAACTTAAATTGTTTATATCATATGTTTATTTTTAAATTAGTCCAGTTTTTGATATGCGCTAACTTTTTTTTTTCTCTAGTAGTTTTTTTCCCCTTTCCATGTACCTTGCAAGTGGATGCAATTTCAGAGACCTACATTACAGCTATTGAGTCGGTAGATCAACAGCCAGTCAAGTAGTACGAAGAGTTTGTTAAATTATCTGGTGTGTACTGAAAGAAGAATGCTTTCCTACTCCAAATGAGGGCACATGAGCTAGAATTGCGCAATTTTTTCAAAATACAGCATCTTTCCCCAACTGTCTTCGGGCAGTTAGTTGATGGCAAGCATATCCATATAGTTAAACCTGAATGTAGTGGGTCGTACATGAATTACAAACATTATTTTTCCATTGTGTGAATGGCAATAGCCGATGCAAGTTACAGGTTCATTTATGTTGACGTGGGTTCTTTCGGCAAAGACTCAGACTCCACTATATTCAAGAATTCACTTTGGAAACAAATGGAGGTTGGCCTTCTAAGAATTCCTCCACCTAAACACTGCTTGGAAGTAATGAAGCAGTACCATTTGCTTTTGTAGGGGATTAAGCATTTGCATTGTCTATGGATCTGTTAAGACCATATTACGGTACACATTTGCCAGTAGAGAAACGTGTCTTCAAGTACAGATTATTGTGAGCTAGACGCTATGTGGAGTGCTCCTTTGGCATTCTGTCAAATAAATGGAGAATACTTCACAGCCCACTGAATGTAAACGTTGATTTTGCAGGTGACATCGTCAAATACTGTTGTATTTTACATGACTTTGTACGTGATCGAGATGGGTTCAATTTGGACGATTCCTTGACTTTGTGGTTTAGAAGAGAGGCCTTCCGTTAGTAGTTTTGTTGTAAATAAAACCACCGATCGTTTCGAGATATGTTGACTAAATATTTTGTTAGTGATAGTGGTAAATTGCCATGGCAGCTTGGGAGCATTTACAGAGAGCCTAACTTCATATTCCCATGTAAAAGCATGTAAACAATAACATTAGAACAATACAAAGTACCCGCTGTAGCATGGTACTGTACTCACCAATTAATTTTTGTTGGTCTTGAGACTGGTTGTCATAATCTTCAAACAAAATCTTTGATACTTCAACCCAAGCCTGGCGTTTTTTGTTTTTATCTTTGTAATCAGCCCCTGCAGTATCCCATAACAGCGGATGATGCTGTACCGCACTTATCAAAGTTTCAATATCCATGGTAAAACGCAGACAACAGCAAAAACAACAAAACGATGAAGCAGCGTGAAAAATGAAACAGCAGTAATTGAAGAGGAAAACGGGATACGACAAGTGAGGTACGTTAAACTATACGCCCGTCTGGCAGGCACCATTCGAGAGTACGCAAACCTGTGACGTAAGTCAGAAAGGCTCGATGTGCGTTCTAGCATAAATGCGTCCATCCAAAATCAACGCACGTTATGACTGCGTTATGACGTCCGTCAAGAAGTGGGGGCGTGCCTCGTATGTTGGGATCTAGTGGTTTATTTCTATTTCTACAACGGACGTCACGACGTGCACTCGCGTCTTTCCAGCCTAAGTACGCGAACTGGTGATGACCGATAACGACGAATGACACTTTACTAATCATTTTTTTTATTGTCCTGTTATTTTGCTGTGTAGCAATATGGCGATCGGCGATTTTGTGTAGTCGCGAGCCGATCCAACAATAGTTGCTGGATATGCGTATTGAGCGTGGAATGTATGAATGCGGAACGTCCAAGACAAGTACATGGTGTATTTATGAAAGCTAACGTTTATCAGCACCTAAGATGAGGGAAGGTAACCAATGAAACAAAGATATTGAATTTATAAAGGTTAGGGACTAACCAGAGTCCGTAAATGCCCAATGTAACAGGCCGATGTAGGGCACTGGTAGAATTGCAGATTTTCATGTGTTGACATCATTTATGTTGAAAAGATGTTGTCAAGTTGGTATATTTTGTATGGCAATTAAAAAATCTTTAGAATATAATACAAATTTCTGCTAGGATAAATAAGTTTGTTTAACCCAGAAGGATGTTTGCATGATCATTTTATATTCAGAGAAACCTAGATGATAGCCACAAGCAAGTTGGTTCAGGCAGAGAGGTACCTGATTTGGATCTCAGCCAGGCCATCAGCGTAATTGACGTTTTTGGTGGTTTTCCACAGTTGCTCCAGGCAAATGCCAGGATAATTCCTTGAAATAAACTGTGACTAAATTCAAGAAAATGTGTAACTGAGTGAGTGAATGAATCAACACATATTTTCTACCAGCTGTCTGCTTAACACATACCTCCCTCAACATGTCTTCCTCACTCCCACTTCCAATGTTCGTTCTTTCATTGACTCTGCTGTAAGTATGGTATTAGAACTTTATGGACCGACACCACTAATGCTAAAGCCTATCTTTGGACTCAGTCCTAAGCTATATAGATTTGATATTAGTAATACAAAATCCGACTGCCTCTGTGGTCTAGTGGTCAGAGTTGCTGGCTACAGATCCGGAGGCCTGGGTTTGATTCCTGGAGCTACCAGATTTTCTGAGAAGTAGTGGGTCTGGAACGGGGTCCACTCCACCTCGTGAGGATAACTGAGGAGTTATTTCAAGGAAATAGCTGCTCTGGTCTAGAAAACGAGATTAACGGCCAGGGGGATTCATTGCACTGACCACATGACACCCTCTATCCGCTAAAGTTGGCACTAACTTCGCTGACAAGCAGTGGTTGCTCGGTTGGTATAGTTCTCTTGTGGACTGAAATCACAGAGTTTTTAATAAAAAATCCAACCATTGCTCATGATCCTCAGTCATCTGGATCCACCTCACTGTCACTTTCTGTGAGGTCCATCCATTAAGCTCCTGATCTGGCCGTGCCATAGCTCAAGCGGTTAGTCGCTGGCTTCCCACCGCAGCAGCCTGGGTTTGATCCAGGGTCTGGTTAAGTGGGATTTGTGGTGGACAAAGTGGCACTGAGGCAGGTTTTCTCCAAGTACTTCGGTTTCCCCTGCCAATCTTCATTCCACCAATTGCTCCACAATCATCCTCACCTATCATCTGGTGCTGGTACAATAGGCTAGAAGTGGCTGCAGTACAAGGGACTTAGTCCCACCCCACTAGCAATAAAAAAAAAAAATCTCCTGAGTACCACTTGTGTGTGTATCACCCAAGTTGGCATACTACCCAGTCTTGACTGCAAGAGACTGCTTATTCACTATATTCACGGTGGTTTTCCAAATAAGTCTATTACCATCTACAACCTGAGGATGCAACGTTGTTGGGTGATGGGAAGCCCACTTTTAGGACTGAGAAAATACAGTGGACAACCTTATATAATAATATTGAGGATAGTACCCCCACAGTGTGTAGGCATCTCCTCTGGCTGGACAAAAATTGTCATTTATTTGTATCAGTAATTAGCATGTTATAGTGAAACTTGTGGAGCACATCATTTTTAGTCTTTTAACGTTTATTTTTAATTTCTATCATTTTAGGTGCAACATTACAGTCTGCTGACCATACATATTGCAGAAATTCAAATGAACTTTCTTTAAGCAATATCACTATTGAGAAAACAGTCTCAGATGGGAAGCTGAAAGAAGACACTTCTGGAAGGGGAGAAATTCCAAAGAGCGGAATATTTTTGAAAGTGTATATAACAGAGAATCTTGCAGGTCAAGGTATTCGAACAAATCTAAAAGTTGACTCAGTTGTTAAAAGCCATAAGACTCTGACAGAATTGGCAGTACCAGAAACAGTCTATGATGATGAGGAGGAAGAACATGATTTGAATCTAGCATGTATTTCAAACAGTATACCAAATATAATTTCAGGGAATCAAGAAGAAAAACACAAGAGAACTGCAAATGGGATGAATCATCCCTACACAGAAGCAGTATTTTCTTGGAAAAGAATTCCTTCTCAGATATGCAGACTGTGTGCATGTACAAATGAACTACATCCAAAACAGTCTATTATTGGTTGGTTGAGTTTGCTGAATGAAATACTACCTGGCATGGTAAGTATTTTCGTGGTTAAGTGAACAAATTTTTTGATGGGGTTCACTAAAGTAAACAATTACTATTTAATTATTACTTATCTCCATATCTTACATTACCAAACAGACTGGCATAGCACTAGCACACATATTCAGGAGGCATGCAGTTAAAATCTTGGTCAGGACACCAGCTACCTGATTGAGTTCTTTAGTGTGATTTTTCTGAGACCTTCCAGGGAAATGTGAAGTAATACCTCAGTTGGGTCCATACAACTTCTGGATCTTTTCCAGATTCATCAGTAATACTACCACACCATGCTATATAGTAGAAACTGACAGTGTCATCAAATAAACCATAAAGTCAACAGGCATTTATGACAAACATGTCAATAAGTCCTACTGACCAGCCATTTCTCATTTGTACATGTATTTCTCTTGTGTTATACTTTATGTTTACAGTAATGCTAAGTTTAATGCTGGAAATGCCTTTGGAAACAGGAGCACTAACTGAATCAATAGGTGGGGTAGTGTCATAGTTATGGAAATGCATTCCTACAATTGTAGTTTATTACACTTATACAAAAAGTAAAATGGCCAAATATAGTTAAAATTATTAATTTATTTAAGATTCCTTACAAAATATGTATAATGTAGAAAGAGTGGCTTCGTATATTGGAAGGTGGGCCTAGCCATTACTTGTGACTAACTCCATGGAGCCAGGTCCTTGAGAAGTCAACAGTCACACAGCTACTGAAGGAATTTCCAACTTTTGTGGAACCTGAAGGTACCTTTCATGTTCACAGTAGCCTGCCTCTGGACTCTATCCTGAGCGAGATGAATGAAGCCCATACTGCCCCCTACTATTTCTCTAAGATCCAGTTTAATATTATTCTCCCACCTATGCCTAAGTCTTTGTAGTGGTCTGTTTTCTTCTGCTTTTCCCATCAGTATCCTGTATGCATTCCATTTTTTCTCCCATGCGTGAGAGGTACTCTACGATCTCATCCTCCTCAAGTTGATCATTTTAATTATATTTGGCAAGGAGTACAAGGTATGAAATATGTTGTTCTGTGGTTTTCTCCACCCTCCTATTGTTTCATCAATCTTGGGTCCAAATATTCTGATAACACTGTTCTCAAATACCCCCAGTCTGTGTTCTTCCCTTAATATCAAAATATAGTTTTGTGTATTTTAATCTTTATATTCTCAACAGACGAGAAGACAAAAGGTTCTGAACTAAATGGAAGCAAGCATTACCAAAATTTAATCTGCTCTTGATTTCTGCATGAATAAAATTTTCATTTGCTACTGTCATTTGCAAATGTTTGAACTTTGTCACATTTTCAGAGGATCTGTTGTCTTTGTGTTTTGATTTTTCCCTTCATTGTGGTGACAACATTAGCTTAGTTTTCTGTGTGCTTATGTCTAGACCAGTCTCCTTACTAGCATCTAGCTTCTGTATTTTTCTTTATGGTATTTATGTTTTACTGCCAACAGAACTACACCATCAGCATAGACACACTCTTACTCATTTTTGAAGTAACTGTCAACTTTATTCGTAAAGTAGGCATCAAGAGTTCATTGCCTTGCGTGAAGCTTTATCTCAAGAAGCACTTCTTTGTAGCCGGATATCATGTAAATATCTGGCTTCATCTAAGTGCTGTGTGTAAAATTTTAGTAATTTTCAGTTAAGATATCCATGACATTATTGATCATATTCATGAAGTCTGTTAACTAAACTTATGAAAATTGGTCCCACAATAAAAGAAGTTCTAATGACTCAGCATTATATTGGGTACTGTTAAATACTCATTCTGATAGGCACACCAAACATCAAGGGTTAATGAGTTTGTTAATTTATTTTATATAGCTGTCTCAAATGTGTAGTTTGAATATGGAACTAAATGCAGTGAGAGGGTAATTACAACTGTTGAATGAGAAAGGATATGGAAGTAAGCCATTGTGGATCATGATACCGTGAATTGCAAGGTCTCAGTCTCCAGCCTGAGAATTAAACCTTGGGCCTCTGAAATTCAATGTAGATCACACTATAATGATGCTTTGTTTATGGTATAGCATTCCAGCATCATATTTGGAAAGTACAGAAGTCATATCTCAGATAAGAGTTATCAGCTCTCCTGACTGATATTTTCATGTCTTCCTCAAAGCGAATGCTGAATTAGATCCTTAAAATACACTACGCCTTTCGACATTATTTCCATCTCATTTGTAATATTATGTAATTCCTCGTTCAGAGTTTATGCATTGATTGCATAGAATATATGAAATGTTGCCATTTCTTTCAGGTATCATTGAACGATGGACTTCCTCAACACATGTGCAGACCATGTGTAAACAAGCTGTATACATGTAACAAAATAAAGACAGAATTTATTGAAGCAGATGAAAAACTTCAAGGAATCATGGGATTTGTAAAGTCTGCAGGACTTACTACTGAAACTGACAACAGAATTCATAAGGATCCAAGTGATAATGAAATGTATGGAGATGGGGCTTTCACTTGTCATCTCAGATTTGATAAAATAAAGGAATCTGAGTGTGCATTTGAAGNACACTCTTACTCATTTTTGAAGTAACTGTCAACTTTATTCGTAAAGTAGGCATCAAGAGTTCATTGCCTTGCGTGAAGCTTTATCTCAAGAAGCACTTCTTTGTAGCCGGATTATCTGGCTTCATCTAAGTGCTGTGTTTAAAATTTTAGTAATTTTCAGTTAAGATATCCATGGCATTATTGATCATATTCATGAAGTCTGTTAACTAAACTTATGAAAATTGGTCCCACAATAAAAGAAGTTCTAATGACTCAGCATTATATTGGGTACTGTTAAATACTCATTCTGATAGGCACACCAAACATCAAGGGTTAATGAGTTTGTTAATTTATTTTATATAGCTGTCTCAAATGTGTAGTTTGAATATGGAACTAAATGCAGTGAGAGGGTAATTACAACTGTTGAATGAGAAAGGATATGGAAGTAAGCCATTGTGGATCATGATACCATGAATTGCAAGGTCTCAGTCTCCAGCCTGAGAATTAAACCTTGGGCCTCTGAAATTCAATGTAGATCACACTATAATGATGCTTTGTTTATAGTATAGCATTCCAGCATCATATTTGGAAAGTACAGAAGTCATATCTCAGATAAGAGTTATCAGCTCTCCTGACTGATATTTTCATGTCTTCCTCAAAGCGAATGCTGAATTAGATCCTTAAAATACACTACGCCTTTCGACATTATTTCCATCTCATTTGTAATATTATGTAATTCCTCGTTCAGAGTTTATGCATTGATTGCATAGAATATATGAAATGTTGCCATTTCTTTCAGGTATCATTGAACGATGGACTTCCTCAACACATGTGCAGACCATGTGTAAACAAGCTGTATACATGTAACAAAATAAAGACAGAATTTATTGAAGCAGATGAAAAACTTCAAGGAATCATGGGATTTGTAAAGTCTGCAGGACTTACTACTGAAACTGACAACAGAATTCATAAGGATCCAAGTGATAATGAAATGTATGGAGATGGGGCTTTCACTTGTCATCTCAGATTTGATAAAATAAAGGAATCTGAGTGTGCATTTGAAGACAGTTGTAATCTTGAGCACTACAGTGAAATTCATGAAATATCTTTAAAAAATGAATGTGGTTCATATAGTATGTTACAAGGGTCAGTCGCTAAGCGAGATGATCAAGAGGTACAGAAAAACTTGTGTTTTAATAATAAGAGGTCCTCTGAAGCCTTGAAGCTTCGGAAGAATAAAGTAAAATTGAAATATTCATGTGTTGAATGTAAAGAAATGTTCTCTTCAAAAAAGAATTTGAGTGCACATAAACGGGTACATTCAAAACCAAAAAATCTAAGCGAACTTGTATGTAAATACTGTGGCAGACAGTTCTTACAAAAACACAAATTACTGGTCCATCTTCGGTCCCATACAAATGAGAAGCCTTTCATGTGTGAACATTGTGGACAAGTTTTCCGAATCAAGGAGAGTCTTAAGAATCATCGACTGAAACATAACCCTCCCAGTTTTTCCTGCCTTGTTTGTAGTAAAAGGTTTTATTGTCAGGCCAGTTTGGCTGTGCATAAGAAGACTCATCTTACAGACAGCAGACTAATTTGTGACTTGTGTGGGAAAATTCTTTCCTCCAAATTTATTTTGGAATCTCACATACGCTCTCACCAAGGAGAGAAACCATATCAGTGTACGGTTTGCGGCAGATGTTATTCATCAGCAAATGCACTTAGGTGTCACAAGTATAGTCATTCAGCTAAAACGTTTGCTTGTGAAATATGTGGAAAAAGCTTCAAATACAAGAGGGCTGTAACAGAACACATGAACTGCCACACTAAGCAGAAAACGTATGAATGTCCGATTTGCTTGAAAGCTTTTGCAAATAAAGGGAACAAGTGGAGGCATCTGAAGGTAACGTGTAAAAACATTCTTTGTGTTGTGTGTAATCAGACTTTTCCAAATATTGGCATGGTGGTGGAACATAGAGCCAAGGTGCATTCCCTGGAGGAGATTGCAAATGCTGCAGAAGAGTACAGAATGGAACAAATTCTACATTGTGAAATGTGCTTAGTGAGTGTAGCAGGGACAAATAGTATGCTGAAACATATGAAGACAGCACATAAAACATATGAACTTTTTACATGTGAACAGTGTAATAGGTGCTTCTTAAATGAGGAACTACTACTGAAACATGATACTCCTTGCAAGTTGAAGAAGGTGGTGTCAAATTACTTGAAAGGTCCACGTGGACATTGTAAAATTTGTTCTGAGCCTATATCTGGAATAGGAAACATGATGAAGCATATGAGACGGGTTCATAAGGAATATAGGCCATTCATGTGTGAGCACTGCCCAAAATCTTTCCTAACTAAACAGGAACTAGGACAACACAGTAGAAGTCATAGTGATCGTCGTCCATTCTTGTGTTCTATCTGCCATGCCAAATTCAAGTCTAAACATTCTCTTCAATGGCATGATATTTCATTTCATCGAGATGTGTTCCCTTTCTCATGCCTTTCTTGTGATCGTAAGTTCAAACGGCAGACATCTTTGGTTATACACAAGAGGACACACACGGGGGAGCGCCCTTATCCTTGTTCTCTTTGTGAAAAGTCTTTTGCTAATAAAATTGACATGCAAAGACATACCAACACACGTTCCTGCATAAAAAAGTAATGACAAAGAATAATTAAATAGACTGCACTTGTTACAAGTAATTATTTAGTAAATCTAAGCATAAGACAGTGTTTATGAGTTACCTTTATGGAGTTTTCTGTATACTGTCTTCAACCCTCATTTCTGACAAAATCAGATCCTTGTGAGTGAGGAGTTTCATAGCGCAGCTGCTCAGAACATGTTCATGTGGTTTAATTTTTCTGGCTCTTAACCTCTGTCGCTCTTGCAATAAGGAGTAAATTGAATCCTGCTGGACAGGAATTTCTTGACCACTATCAAGCAATCATAGGCTGGAGTAATCTTTTAGACCAGCATTTCCCAAAAAGTAAGAGCAGCAGTCCCACAGGGAACTGTGAAACTTTTGCTGGGGGCTGCAAAAATGAGTGCCAATAACAAAGGTTTGGAATTTATTTTAATCCAGGAAGGCCATATTCAGTAGTAAAAATACGGTTTCATTGAAAGTGGAATTAACAGATACTGTTAACGTTCATTTAGTATTTTTTTTTAAACCTCTGTATCATATTTTAAGTCCTTTTGTAAGTTGGGCACTTCAATTCACATCAAGGGTGCCATAGATTGAAAGTTTGGGAACTACTCTTTCAGACCATAACTGGCATCCACAGAGACAGTATGTGAACTGGGTGTTGCAACAGTGGGAACATAAGAAAATGTGTGATGCCAACAGACAGACATATTAATTAGTAATGAAAGTGGGACTCAAGTACTACCTACATAGAGTATGCTTGAATCATTGTGATGATATCGAAAGTAAAATAGAGATAAGATTCAATTTTAGGGTGCACAGAACCTCTTGTGGAATATGTCAGTTAATGTACAATTATACACTTCATACAAGTGCACATAAAATAACTTTAATAACATCCCTGAAGGCACAGCAACTATAATAGCATCGTCATATAGTCAGAAGAAAAGTAAGTTATAATTTTAAGACTTGGATATAATTCTAAATGTACATGTAAGCAGTCTCTTTTTATGAGCCCCTGAAAATGGTTCTATAGGACAAAAAACATGTAAGACAGTTGTATTGATTCAGCATTTTAGTAAAAGTTTCTTACACTTGATGGTTGCTGTAAATTCCATTCACAAGTAAATATTAAGAGTAAATTATGAACTGAATAATAAACAGATTAAGTGCACTTTACAGCTATGTTTCCCAAAACTGTGACTTGTTTTAAAACATAGTTTTCATAAGATGGTTATAGCATTCATAGGTTGATAACCCTTAGATGGGCGACCTATAAAGGTAAGGTAAGGTAAGGTTAGGTTATCCCTGTGCTTAATTATGTAATTAAGCACCATGCCATGAAGGCATATTGGGAGTGGAGTATATTACATATTCCACAGTGATGCTTCTTACTGAGTAAGTATTTTTGGTTCACCCATAGTTTAGAAAAATTTGAAGCACCTTCTGAGAAATGTTACAGATTGTATATGCTTATTCTTTTCTGATATGGACAGGTGAAAACAAAGTATACCCTTAGTAATCCAAGCATTATATGGTTTATTTATTATAACTGACCCTTTTAATGGAAATACTGTATTAAAATAGTAATATAAAGCCACTAAAAATGTTTGATTAGAGGTATTTGTCTCATCTGATAAATAGACGTTTTCCCATTGTTCCTCTTTTAGAGTTAGATTAAATTGCTCCCTGTTTTCTAGGATGAAGTACCGTTTTTACTTATGGATTGCCTTTATTGCTGGTTCATCTGGTCTCTTGACATAGAATTTGAGCCTTATGGTCTGAGAATCCTAAGTCAATATTTGATATTGTTATTTCATGATTTGAGACTTCAGTTATCATAATATCAATAAGTGAACATGATGTTTTTGAGAGCCTAGCTGGCGTCCAAATCCTGTTCACCAAGTTATGCATTTCCAGTATATTTTGTACTTTATGCAACTTTGAATTGTTATGAAGAAAATTAACATTCCAATCTCCACAAATGATAAGCTTTTTTTTTGTGTTCCTGAATTCTTCTAATCACAATTTCTAATTCTGCTAAGAATTCATCTATATCACCCTCTGGGGATCTGTAGATAATAACCATATATCCAAGAGTTTCACAGTCAATAGCTTAAATGCCTTTTCCTGACCCATTCCAGTCAAATAGTGAATTTGTTTTGTTCTCAACATGTCCCTGACGAATATACATGAATCTGCACCCTTTTTTCATTCCTGCAAAATTGGCTTCTTAATTTATATTGATCCAAATTCATCAATTTTATCAGGTCCCCTGATATCCAATGTTCTGTGAAACATAAAACATCCATCATTGTATCACTAACATGTATGTATAATAATGACTCCTGGATTTTGTTATTTAGGCTTTGTGTATTATGGTGTAGCACTATTATGTTTTTCTTTCTCACAGTTGACCATAAAATATCGACCTTTCTCTTTGAAGGTCTTCTTGACCTTTTGACTTGGGGACAGTTTACGTAATTTCCTGACTGTTGCTCTTCATTTAGAATTTCAACTTGTTTATCTTCTGTACTGTAGCTGCCGTCCTTATCACCATAATTCATAATGTGTTGCATTTCCTGGTCATCCTTCAAGTTCACAAGGTCCGTCAGTTTTTTCTTCCCCCCATTTTGAATTGTCGAATCCCTGACCATTTTACTTCCACCTTTATCATCTTTCTTAGTTTCCCTATGAAAATCCACCTCCTGTACTTCATTTCAAATCATGGCTATAGGAGTCCTCTGTATCTTCACAAATAAGCCCTTTATATTCTTGAATGCTTTATATCTTATGTGAGACAACAGGATGAAAACTATTAAGCTGTTGTTATGTTATGTTACGCATGGCATTCCAGTGATCCGTGGTGTTTATACCTCCGTGGCTCCGTGTGTATATCTATGCTTACGACTCACAAATAAGTTATACGCGGTCATACGTGGGGATTTGGTTTATAGCGGTTTATAGGTTGTTGAAGAATGCTCTGGGAGTCTGTTTAGCGGTTATTGGTTTTGCAGGAAACAATGGGGCGGAAAAATAGGCGTTATTGTTGTGTGTTAACATGTAGAAACTACTATAATGTATTACGGGAAGTGTGTTATTCTTTCCCTAGAAAGAAGAAGACGTAAGTATCAGAATAAGCATTTTAGTGATAAGGTATGTTTCAGTATAGCATTCAGTGTGTAAACACAAAACGATTTTGTGAATTATGGTTCAGTAATTGCTCACATCCGGTTGCTTTGAGAATCGTATATGTAACACGGCGCAGATATCTGCGTGAGCGAGATATGTGCCATTCCTGTTTCATGTTAGATAGCAAAATAACCTATATTGAAATAACGCAATTCTAGCAAGTAACAATTACAAAATAAATTGTAGAAAATATATTTCCAAGTGTATTTATTGAAATTTGAATTAAATGAATAGGTTTTATTATATCTTGTTTTGAAGCTAACCTATAACAATTGAGAATGAGTGGTATTCCGTACCACGCAATTTAAGCGTAGCGTTTCTTCTTTGAACCCACCCAATATTCATTCATTCATTCATTCCATTCTTTTATTAATCATGTAGATCATGATACAATGATATAGGACAAGTCTTTCAGCTAATATACATTATTAAACTACAACAATCTTAATACTAAAAAATTTTATAAGATATACAACATTTTATACAATATATACTATATACTTCTGCTTATATCAGTAGCCAATTCATGTTTCTATCTTTGTTTTCTTGTTAGTGCACTTCATAGTTTCTCACTTTTTAACTTTTATTTGCGTTGGTTATGTTAATTTTGAGTAATTTTGATATTTGTAAATTAATAATGTCCACAAGGCCTCTACCTGGACCCCAAGAGATGTCACAATGAAAGAAACTTAATGTTTTTGGCATTATCACTTGTCTGGGAGTTAGAGAGACATAGTTATACGTGCATAATTATAGACACATGATAATATTAAAATGGATCTAAAGAAATAAGGTGTGAAGCAAATAAAGATTGGTGCGCTCTTGTTAACATGGCAATGAACTTCTGGAATCCTAGGTCAGGAAATTTCTGCACTGGCTGAGGTCTAGTTATGAAGAAGGCTGTACTTCATACAAGTTTCAGTTGCTTTAAATGTAACTGAAGTGTTGTAAGTTCATTTATTTTTCAAAAGGTTGTTGATAATTTAATTCCTGATTCATATCAATTGTCACTTCAGGGCACAAGAATGGGTCCGTGCTGTAAATAACCCTAACCTGGTTGTTGAAGAAGCACATATGTACCACAGAAACAAGTGTGTCTGCCACCGTCATTTTGCAACATCCCAGTATAATACTCCTGAAAGGTTGCGCCTCAATCGGGGTGCTGTACCCACACTATTTTTGCCATCATCTGATAGTATTGAAAATGGCCTTTCATCATCACATCTGCAGAAAGTTTTTCTGTCATCATTAAGGTTGGTAATTGCTTAATTATTTACATGATTCTGTAGCCTCATGATGCACACTGAGCATTTTGCCAGAGATACATTATATTAAAAGGCTGAAAATTATTCACATTTTCTTGTAGGTTATTGAATTAAATTGAATTCAATTCATACTCAGTGTTAATTCCATTACACAGTAGCACTTTTTAAAAATGACGTTAGAACAGAAATCTTATAACAGTTTATAGATAGTTTTTATAACTTCAACTAGGAAAAGATCACTTTAAACTTGTGCTTATTCTGCCATCATAATGTGTCTTTATAAAATTACCGCTTAATCATTATTTTTATCATTATCTAATTATGAGATATATTTGTATTTTGAATGAGACTGATTTTGCAATTTTTTTCTCATGTTTTCTGCAGTAAATTTGTTTATATCCTCAGCAAGGCTCATGAATACTTGTCTAGTTGTTAAGGCATTTTAACAAAAACATAAGAATCAATTTGCTTGCCTAATTTTCCTCGTTTTACTTTCTCGTTTTATAATTGGAGGTTAAGGGGAATGGCATTCTTCATGTAATATGATATTAAACATATATATGTACCAGAGATAGCTGTGCTTTAGCTTTGTTATACACAAAGAGGTTTATTCCTTCAGATGTGCTCTTTTGACAGCCCATTCTTGTAATGGGATGCCATGGACAGCTTCCTACTAATAAAATACTTTGACACAGATATAAATGGAGGTTCAGTCTGTGCTTGGTAAATGGATGTCAGTTTACTCACTTGATATTACAGGAGGTTCTGAAAAAGATATGCAGCATACAAACACATTCCCACTAATTAATAAATTCTGCCGCATTTTGAAGCTTACCTTCTGTGATTTCTAGAGTGACATTCTGAAATTCAAGCCATAAAGCATGTATCATCTCTCTAGTCTCTCTGATTGAAGTGACAGAAATTGCTCACCTTCAGAACCTCAGAACATGAAAACCGTAGTCGTCTTGATGAGTATTCATTCATTGAAACAGTCCATGCAGTCGGCAGTGAATTCTTTTGATGTTTGCTGCTGTATTGTCCTGCTGGAAATACCCATAACTAATACTCTGTAACTGTTCATTGCTGTAGCTCACTATGGTTGGATACCACAAATGCAAAGAATAATCACAGGTGACTGGTCACAACAACAAGCATGTGATATGTGTGAAATGAATTGTGTGCTTCTTATCACAGCAGGAATCCGTTTATGTTATGGCATGATTCTTTCAGTGAAGTTGCCGGGATCTGAATATATGAATGTGGGAATGTATTTGGATCTCAGAAAGCACCATTTTCAGCGTCTCTTATAGTGTTAAGTAAGTAAGGTGGCTTTCTGAAAACATTTGTTTGAGCATTGGCAGAACCTCCAATTAGAACTGTGCAGTAGTGTGTTACTGTTTTATCGAAAAGGAAGCTGCCCACCAAATGGTGTGCTGTGCTGTAATTGTACATTGCTTTTGATTTATATGCATTTGTTCTAATTATGGTCTCAATGAAGGTGCAATGTCTTCTCATTGCAGATACAGTAAGATTGCAGAGTCAGGCGTCCAGGATGAACGTGAGTCTAGAGAGGATGGTGTTAAGGAAGCGACAGGTATTGATATGTATAAAATTATAAGACAGACTAAAAGGTTACATGTATTTTAATGAAAGAGATGAGCTGGGATGACTACAATTTTATTAGATTTCAGTGGTTGAAATGTGCAATACCTGTTCTTAGTGGCATACCAGTGATAAGCCAGTCTGAAAGGTTTTTTTCTATTTTCCTCTGTTCCTTGAGACATTTGTTTGCCATGATCATGACCATTTCCTTCTGTCATCCACAGTCGTTACTGTCATAGTAGAAGTATGAAATATTAACCCATAGTAATTAACATTTCTTTAGATTTTTGTAGTATAGCTAATCATTTGGCTGGTCTGGCTGTACAGATGCAGTGCACTCACACTGCTCATGTTGGACTTTTGGCGTAATTCACAGGCCAATAGCCAATTTATATAGTGTCTCCTCTTCAGTATTGCCCCAGTATTAAACATTAAATCAGTTACATTGCTGCTTGTGTCAAAATACTGAGTGAGGATGTTATAATGTACTGAACAGCTAATCATTGTCGAATCTTGATGAAATCAGTGATGGGCTTGATCGCACATAGAAAGTGTCAGTGTGAGGAACCCGTATCTCTTTTGTTGCGCTGGCCTATCGATATGCAATGGGATGTCAAATTATGTCTGTGTACTTTTGTTATATTTAGGTAACCTTGAAGAGGCTGGAAGTCAATTTGTTTCTCATCTAGACAATGGGTACAGAAATGAAAGGGACTTAGAGCCACTGCATAAGGATCAAGATAGAGTGGAAGTGCCAGTACAGGAAGATACTCAATTGAGACAAGATATTTTGACAGAAAATGATAGAGCACAGCACCATAATTCAAATGGAATGCAAACTAATCACCAGAGTCACTGTAGAGAACCAGAGACACATGTTGGTGGCACTGCAGTGAATGAGAGAGACATAACTGAAACTTGTCACATCACATCTGATCATGGTGACACTGATGAATGCAGAGATGTAAAGTTTATTCCAAACGAACCTTGTACAGTAGCAGTAGATTCATGGGAAAACCTACCAAATCAACTGTGCCGACTCTGTGCGTCTACAGATGAACATCCAAAGCAGTCAATTGTTGGCTGGCTGGGTATGCTAAATGAAATAATTCCAGATTTGGTGAGTTATCTGTCTCTGTTTGCTTACCATTATTAATCTGCGTGTTTGCATAAATTACGTGTAAGTGATGCATTCTGTATTATGGGAATCAGTGCCCGTGCTTGACCTGCATTATTTTCCACCGAGATCAATATAGTTGAATTAGGATTAAATATATGGTAACTTCTCGAACACAAACATTCCTCTCTTCAGTGGGAACAATTTTCCAGCCAACTTTTGTTGTTAATGCATGGTCACATCAATATGTTTAGGACAGAAGGAAATATCTTGGCATACATGTGCACTGCTGTTAGGCTACCATATGATTCTCACTATTGTATGGTGCTTGCAGAAACTGTTGAGGGACTGTCAGTAAGTAAATGAGCAACACAGAAGTTTGATATGGAGAGATTTGTTCTTAAGAAGCAAAATTATGTTTTTTCTATGTTGCATATTTTATGGTGTCATTTTATCAGATCATAAAGTGTCGATTGTTAGGATGACTGATGAATAATGAATTGAAAGGGATTTGGAACAAATTGTCCTGTCTTAGTTGAGGTACTATCCTGGCATTTCCCAGAGGGACTGAGGAAAACCATAAAATACCTTAGTCAGGATAGCCTATGTCCAGCTGAGATTTGAACTGAGCATCTCCCAAGTGCAAGTCTTGGAACATTACTGCTACTCAAATCCACTCGATAGATGACATTGAAGTTCCAGAATAGTATGAGGTTAAATCCTCGGACAAGTTTTTGGCTTCAGAAGAGTTACATGATAATGTCAGTATCAGTAGTACTTGGGAAAGTACTGGATATAAAATCGAAACAAGACAAATATGAGTACTAATACATAAAGAAATTAGCAGATAATTAAATATTTAATTGAACTGCTACATGTAGTACATCCAAAGCAAGTAGTGTTAAAGGTGGATATGTACTTTTCTCAGACAATGTAATATTTGTTTCTTATAGTTTTTGTTATTGTTGCTGAAATTTTTTGTAGGTGGCCCTGAATGACGGACTTCCCCAACACATTTGCAGACCTTGCACAAACAAGCTGTATACATGCAATAAGATAAAGGCAGATTTTGTTGAAGCATATAACAAACTTGAAGAATGTTTGGGATTTACAAAGTCACCAGGAATTCAGTTTGTAGTTACTGCATCAGCTGATTATGATGATCAGACATTTGATGAAGTGGCTGAGGAAGAGATGGTGTGTAAGAATGAAGATTTAGTGTCTGAGGTTGAAGAGCAGTTAGCGTCTGAAGTTGAAGAACCGTTAGAGACCGAGGATGAAGTACAGTTAGTGTCTGAAGTTGAAGAACATTTAGTGACTGAGGATGAAGTACAGTTAGTGACTGAGTTCGAAGATCAATTAGTGTCTGAGGCTGAAGGTCCGTTTGAGGTCCCTTCTGAAGACCTTCATAGAGTTACACCAATGTGTGAAAATAACTTTCTTGAGGGCACCGAGATGACTTTAAATGCTGGAGATGATTTATCTGTAAATCCTGAAGAATTTCCAATTTCAGCAACTGATGATGGGACAACCCTCCAAGGAAGTTTTCCCCAAGGTGAATCAGAGTGTGTTGCTGACAACTCAGGCATGTGTGACATAATGAAGGGACAGAGAGTGCAAAAGTATAAGTATGTATGTGGTGAGTGTGAGGAAATATTCACAAAAAAGGTAGCCCTGAATGCACATAGACTGTCCCATGCTCCTGTTTCTGAATGTGAATTCTGTAGCAAGAAATTCACTTCTACGTCACAGTTAGATGACCACAGACGCATACATACAAAGGAATTACCTTTCATGTGTGAGGTCTGCGGAAAATGTTTTCGAAACATGACACGATTGAGACACCATGAGTTTGTTCATAAACCACCTAGTTATACTTGTCCAGTGTGTAATAACAAATTTCGTTCTAGAATGTACTTAAGACAGCACAAGAGGGTGCACTCTGCAGACACAAAGCTGATATGTGAGCTGTGTGGAAAAATGCTATATACTGTGTCTAGCCTACAGATTCATTTGCGAATTCATACTGGTGAGAAACCTTTTCAGTGTGATGTGTGTGGAAAATGTTTTATTTCTGCTGGCAGATTGAAGCATCATGGGTTTAATCATTCAGATAGCAAATTCCAGTGTGACACCTGTGGTAAGGAATTCATTTTCAAGAAGACATTAATACAACACCAGGAATGTCACGTTAAGTTGAAGGAGTGTAGATGCCCTATCTGTTTAAGAGAATTTTCAAATTTACAAAACACAAAAAGACATCGAAAGATAAGTTGTAAGAAGCCTGTTTGTATTGTCTGCGGTGAAACTTTTCTGACTGATGAGATGGTAGAAGAACATCGGACAAAGGAACACACTGAGGATGAGGTAGCATTTGCAGCAAAAGGTTATAGTAGACAGAAGTATTTTAAAAGTTGTCCAGTTTGTGCCAAATCCATATATTCGGTAAGAGACATGTTGAAGCACATGAAGGAGCATCACAGTGATTATGATTATAAACCATTTGCTTGTGAACTATGTACCAAAACATTTTCTACTGCAAGTGCCTTGCGTACACATAGGATTTGGCATAGCGAACACCGTTCGTTTCCTTGTGTGACTTGTGGTAAGAGGTTTAAGACTAAGTACACACTCAAATGGCATGATTTATCAGTACATAAAAATGAACATCCTTTTCACTGCCCTTTCTGCGACCGCCAGTTTAAAAGACTGTCCGACTTGATTGTGCATAAGAGGAAACACACTGGGGAGAGACCATTCCCATGCCCAATTTGTATGCAGAAATTTTTCACAAAAAGTGACATGTTAAAACATGCAATGAAACATTCGCAAAGTAGTGTTAATGTGGCATGGAAGGAAGTGGTTGAGGGAACTGTACCAATAAGTGAAATTGTTTTTCCTTCACAAGACTTGTCATGTGATGTAAATGTGGTGGAATGTGTCGATTGATTATACAAATAGAGTATTTCACCATGCAGTATGTTATAAGTCATACCTGTTGCAGTCAGGAGGCTTCCAAACAGGTGTGTGGGTGTAACGTTTTTTGAGACATGATGCCCAAAAGCTCAAATATTGGAGTCAAAGAAGCATCATGGATGCATCCATTGCTATGCAACATTTTATTAAAATGCATATCCATGGCAACGGATGTGCACACAACAGTTGGTTTTTATTGAAGCTGTATAAGGAGAACCAGTGGGGCCCAAAGCAGGAGACAGTAAAATATGGTCATTAAGTTGCACGGGACTTGGAACCATGAATGACTGTGCTGGTGGGGCCAGCTGCAGTCTTACCGTACCCAAACTGACCCAAAGCAGGAGAGGTGAGAGTAGTCTCAACTCAGAGTGGCGAGACAGAATAATATGTGCATGATGGGGTCCGGAGCCAAGAATGACTGTAAGTGAAAGCCAGTAGCCATTTGGCCAAAACCAAAACTGAAGTGGGTGGTGGTTGCATGACTCCCAGACTTGTGAGACAGAAGAATGTGGTTATTAGTTCCATACAATGCAGAACCAAGAATGGCTGTGCTGGCGAGGGCCAGTAGCAGTTTACCCGACCCGCCAAAGCAGGAGCCATCAAGCACGGAAGTATTAGAAAGAGTCCACATTATTGCAAGCCATAACCAAGCAACGAGAATGTAAAGATATAACAGACCAGAAATAATTGGAATGTGCTGCAGTTACTTTTAGAATGTGAGTAGTAGTGAAAATAACAATCTGTAGATAAGAATAATAAGTAACCAGTAAATTCAGTTATCAATCTACATTGTGTCTAGTCATTAATCTATGACAGATGATGTCATAAGTGGGATTATATCCTATTCCACTCTCTTTATTGTAGAGGATGCAGTTATTCATTAAATGATCAATTAAGGACATTCCAAGGCTGTACTCAGCTTTTACAGACTTGCGGATGGGTCATACTTGCATAAGGTCTCAGCAAGTATTAATTGACCTTCTGGTTGACTGCTATCAGATTTTCTAGGGATGCCTGCCACTGTAACCAGGGATGTAGGGTGTAACCCCTTATCCCACTCATCGAATATGGGCGCTGCAGTAAGAGCTCCCACTTTTCTTTGATATTGCCAGCAACCTTCCTGAGTTAAACAGTTACTTGATCAGCTGCTTTGCATCTGGAGTGTAAGCTGTTTCTTCGTTGTAATTACTGTAGTAATGGAGTTCTTCTGGAACAACAACCAAGTTTTTAAAGCAGGAGTGTAAGCACAGTAACTCCTGCGTTCAGTGTTGGATTAGTTTCTGGGCAAGGGTGTCACATGCAGCATTTGAAGGGGTACACACAAGGATGTAGGGTCCTATTGTTATTGTCCTCACCAGCAAAATTGAGTCTGCCGCAATCAGTGGTTTTCCTGATGCATGGTGGACCAAATGAAGGACATGATGTTCCAGGTACAGTACTTCACTGCTGGCTGCTTTTCTGCATTAGATTGGAGTAGTGGGTTGAGAAATTCTGTGTTCCCTTGCATATGAAGAGAAGGACCGCTGCTTTCTTCAGGGAACAGCATATTGAGCTCCTCATTCACTAGCATGTCAACAGCATAATGCATGAAGTAGGAAGGATACTGGTTTAAACCAAACTGCACATCAAAACAGAGATTTGGGTTATTCTGAAGCCTCATCAGTAATTCTGTGGCATTGCTTCCAACCCAGATCCATGAATCTTGTACCTCAACAACATTTTCATAGCATTATGTTTGCCTTCTTCCAAACATAATTTGTTATAGATGTGGTTCCCCATTACTGCAAAGAAGTGCGACTCTGCAAGCACTGGCACCTCTAGTTTTGGATGTGTTTTGTCAATAATTTCAAGACAGACATTGGATATATTATAATTTTTTGTTTTCTGCATGGCAGTTTTATATTCATCCATGTCAAGAAGGGTGTGGAAATAGTCCTTGTTGTTGTCAACTCCTTGTTCCACAGATGCTATAATACATATTCAGGATTGACTGCAGCTTGTCCATTTGGTTTTCTCTGCACTCCCATGGCAGAAGATTATGTTGTAAAAATGTTTTCAAACCATGTGGGATGCAGCATTCTGGGTTAACTTCCATCCTGCTGCAGCTCCCTTCTGGAGCAAATGGATTGCTTGTATCTTCATAATACTCTTGTCACTGATCGCTGTTAATCACATTGACCATTACTCAGTTGAAGTCCTGGTGTCCTTGATTGAATCCACAATTCAATCCAGTCCAGCAGTTTTTACAACAGTTGTCATGGGTTAGTGACTAGGCATAGGATTTGAATTGATAAATGTTATTAAATACTTACTACTCTTAACTACAGATTACAACAACACTTTTACTACTGTTCACACTCTGCAAATAACTACAGAATGTCTTCATGTGTTCATTGCTTATTTACAGCCTCCAGTAACGGGACACTCTCCCTAATACTTCTGTGCTTGATGGCCCCTTTTTTGGGCAAAACAGAGCAGTAATTTGCTGCTGGGCTTCGCCAGCACAGTCATTCTCGGTGTTTGGCTCTGTCAGAACCTATGGACATATTTTTGTTCCTTGTGAGACTGTGTTTTTTGAAATGGGGCCTTCTCTTGTATTAGAGTAGGTGTTTCTGACTGCTGTGAGCATAGCAGTAACTTGCTCATTGACTCTTTGGTTTGGTTTGGTTAAATTGATGTTGGTCTTGCCAGCACAATCATTCTTGGTTTCAGCTCCCATGGGACGCAATGACCATATATTTTTTTCTGTCTGAAAGTCGAAGTTATGTTACGCCCGATGGTCAGTTGGCCAGTCTGTCTTGGTGTCAAGCTCCATCTGTGGTCCAAGACTAGATTTTTGTTATTGTCAGACACTTTCAGGTTTGTTGGTGTGGGGCACCCTCTCTGATGAGAGGACAGGTGTATCTTTTGCAACCACTGCTGGGTCTTGCCAGCACAGTCATTCTTTGGTCTGAGCCCTGCTGGACTCATGACTATATTTTACTGTCTTAGATTTGAGACTCACCCAACCTGGAGGGCCAGGTCCCCGTATTTATATCTCCTAGGAACAGGGTGGCCCCGTTTTATCCCCAGGCACTTAGTTCCCTTTTGTGGCCTCCTTTGACTCAAAGGGCTATGTTTGGAGGTATTTGATCCTGCCTTCACACGGGGTGCTCTTTCCATCTCACAGCTGTGGCCCTCCGAATATAGCTTCAGCATGGGCCAGTCATTGTGAGCATATTCTTTGCCATGAAAACTTGTCTAAGCAAGCTGTTCATTAGCAATGGATGATTCCATGACACTTCTCTGACTCCAGTATTTTAGCTCTGAGGCATCTTGTCACAATATTCTGCCAAATTCAGTATTTTCAAAGGAAATTGTTCTAGAATCCATTACTTACATCTGATATAAAGCCACCATCTTGTTTGTAATGACCTTATATGTATTAACAAAATTGTGGGTCAGAGAGGCTGATTTGTCCAGACATCACTGGCTCTTCACACTATTCAGTGATGCAATTTCAAGGCCAGTATGACAGAATCCAGTTTTTGGCTTGATTTAATGCAGTATTCGAAAAAAATTAATATATGGGATCACACATGTTCAATTATGCACTAGCAGTTACAGAATGTCCATTGAGCAAATAATCTTCCAGTGTTTCTCTTCAGTATTTAAAATAGAATGACACCGCTTACCTTCCTCACTTTTTGTGGGCATAGTAGACCAGTTGCACAGTGGTTAATCCAGGCACTTTGCTCATAACAGGATGTATTTTACATATTCAGGTTTCTGTTGTTTTTGTCAGTATTGTTTCAAATGTGTAAGAAAAATCCTTGTATTCTCCCACAGCATCTGCCGTTCCATGTTACTTTAGTTCAGCTTTGGGTACTCAGGGAATTACAGTCAAGGTTAGCAGAATTGAAGCTCTGAAAATTTAGTGTCTTGTAGAAATAGGTATAAGTCTGAATTTGGTAAACAAATTTCAGTACACATTGGTGCAATGTGTTGCACAAATCATACATTTGTTCCAGGCTGTCAGTAGGAAATGACATGACATGGCATGGCAGTTGTATACTCCATATCTAAGCCTTGGTAGATGACCTGTATGCAAGCCTTTTGGTAGCAATATCAATTAGGATAATCTCTCTTTATGGGAGCCTAGTTAAACAAAATTAAATCCTGAAAAGTACTGTGTTGAGATTTTTACATTTCGTATATATGCCATCTTTGTAGTATATGATTTTTATGAATGAATTCAGTCATGTTTGTGACAGTTATTTGGTTCTATTTGGTGTGGGCTTTTAAACACATGTGTATTAATTACACTGTTTTGCCCTACTTTCCTTATTCTGTATGGAAATATATGCTTCTATAATCTTGTCTGTATCTGTTTGTTATTCTTCCCAATAACCTGTGAATGAAACTCATTGATTTTCATGAAATGTATTATGAATATAATGACTATATTATATTTAAGCATCCTGTTGCGCTATACACTTCTATATGTAATAATACAAATGCCATCATGATTGCAACAATTTACTTGGTTGTAGATCTTTGTCTTTTCTTCCTCTACACTACATGTTTCGGCCATAATTGACCATCATCAGGTGTATTTTTTCACTGTGTAGCTGTCACACTGCACACAGTCCAAAATCCAAAACGTCAGCCTGTCAGTTTTGTTTAAAATGTGATATGTCAATGACATATTAGTAATATAAGATGAAAAGATAACAAACATAGAAGATACTCTCAATGAAATTAACGAATTGCAACCAACCATAAACTTCACCATTGAGAAATAACAACAAAAATCTATTAATTTTTTCGATATAACAATACATCAAAAGGAAGATAGGTTGCAATTTGCAGTATATAGAAAACCCACACAAACTGACATAATACCTAACAGTTCATGCCATCGATTCGAGCACAAATTGTCAGGTATTAATTATCTATTAAATAGACTCTACACATACCCAATAACAGAAAAAGAAAAACAGATAGAGAAGAACACCATTAAAAACATACGGATATGACACAAACATAATTAACAGATCAAATGAGACAAGATGAAAACAGAAACCAAACACACATGACGAACAACACCAAAAAAACAAAATGGGCCATATTTATATATAGTACAAAAGAAGTACGGAAAATCACGAAACTTTTCAAAGACACGCAGATAAAAGTAACATTTCACCCACGGAACACAATTGAAAATATACTCAAACATAAACCACAATTGGATAAATACAGGGTGGGGCCAGAAACTTCCTTTTTGTGAAGACGCATTGTGAAGGGAGGTGAGGTTGCAGAAAAGTGGGGATAGGCTCGGTGAACACAGCAGTCGTGGAAGTTTCTGTCTAATACCCCTCAGTAGGAAACATGAGGTGGACGAGTGAGCAGCTTGCATTTGCTGTTGAAGCCTATTTTTCGAACAACCATTCCTACGTGGCGGTGCAGCGTGTGTTCCAGACTCACTTCGGAATTAAGCCCAGAGGTCTGGTTCCCGACTGGAAATCGATTGTTTTGTGGCTAGAGAACTTTAGGACAACTGAGAGTGTGGTGAAAAAATCATCAGGACGACAATGGACTGTTACAACGCCAGAAAATATGGAGGCAGTTTGACAGTCGAATTTGAGATCTCCAAGACACTCCACTCGCAAACATGCAGTTGCCCTAGACATATCCAATCATTCAATGTGCCGAATTCTTCACGAACATCTTCATTTCCATCCCTATAAGATGGTTGTGCAAGAATTGTCACCACGTGATTTCCAGAACCGAATAACAGCGTGCGAAACGTTTGACGCACTTGTTTTCTTTAGTGATGAGGCAAATTTTCACCTGTCCACATATGTCAGTAAGCAGAATATGCGCTATTGGAGTGGTAACAATCCCAGAGAGCTCCATAAGAGGCCACTTTACAGTGATAAGGTGACAGTATGGTGTGCATTGTCGAGAGTTGGAGTTATTGGCCCTTATTCTTTTGAAGAAGACAATCATGCAGTTACTGTCAATTCACAGCGGTATGTGGACATGATTACAAACTTTTTTCGAACCAGCTCTTGAAGAAATGCATCTAGGGAATGTCTGGTTCCAACAGGATGGTGCCACGGCCCACACAGCCTGAGCATTGATGACAGTTTTGAGGGCAAAGTTCCCCAGATGGCTCATCTCGCTTCGAGGTGACATCCCATGGGCAGCGTACTCACCTGATCTAATGCCCTGTGATTTTTTTAATGGGGATACCTCAAGGCAGAAGTTTTTAAACGTCGCCCCCACAAACCTGCTTCAGCTGAAGAATGTTATTCGGCAGGAAGTAGCCCAAATTCCGGTGCACATGTTGGAATGTGTAGAGGGGAATCTCTGAAAACGGTTGCATCAGTGCATAGAGAACGGTGGCCACCACCATCAAGATATTTTGTTTCATACTACATGATTTAAAACTTTATAAAGTATGTTCTTTCATTAGCTACACATAAATTTTGTCTATCAACAATAATTTTGCTTTTATTCACCTTCAAAAAAGGGAAGTTTCTGCACCCCACCCTATACAATAAAAGTGGCATATACCAGATGAAATGTGTGGATTGCCCATTGAAGTACATTGGACAAACGGGCGGAACCTTTAACACCAGATATAAGGAACATATACATGATATTAGAAATAATAATAGCAATTTCGGATACTCAAATCACATACTAAATACTGAACATTCATACGGAACAATAACAAACATAATGGAAGTTGTAACAACGGGAAAGAAGGGTAGACATTTGAATACATTAGAGAAGTACCATATATACAAAGTAAGTAAGAAAGGCCTACACATGAATGACACACACATAGAAACAAACAATCCCATATTTCAAACAATATGTGAGACTGTACAGATTAACGGTATCTCCCCTCTCCACTACCCCTTCCTCTCCTTCACTCAGTAACATAAAAACAGCACACAACACACCAGACAGCAAAAGTATTAAAGATGAGCAGTGACACACACAGGGAGCCTGCACAGAGTAAGTACACACAACAGTATGAAACATATAAGAATAACGTAGGAACATAGGATAGTAATACAAATATTTCTGTATTACAGATAATACATGAACGGTGCTGAAAACAAGAAATAGCCGCTGCAGCACATGTAGACAAGAGCAGGTGTCCGTGGTGTTTAAAACTTTAAATTTTGAACTTTACATTTTAGAAATTTTAAATTTTAAACTGGAATTCTAAGATCAAATTGACGAGCATGTGTTGGCGAGATTTTAAAGAAAACTGACAGGCTGGTGTTTTAGATTCTGGACTGTGTGCAGTGTGACAGCTACATAGTGAAAAAATATACCTGATGATGGCCAATTATGGCCTAAACATGTAGTGTAGAGGAGAAAAAGACAAAGATCTACAACCAAATAAATTTTTGTATTTATGACAGTATTTGTATTATTACATATAGAAGAATATAATGACATTGGTGGCCCAATTGCTTTTGTACTTCCTGTTTGCCTGCCATCATTGAAACTAAGTGTGGTGACCATGGAAGTTCTTGAGATTGCAGTGACGCTGTGCTACTGAATGTAGGATTATGAAATGTTCTGTGGTAATAGAGGTTTAAAAATTACACAACTTCTGTTAGAGTATTTTTTTCTAGAATTTTAAGGAACATAGTGAGCTTGAAATATCATTATGTAGCTTTCAGTTTATCTGCCATAAAATTAACCACTGGAGCACAGCATGTGAAGTTTTATTTGCAAATGTGTCATAAATGGAATTTATATGTGAAACTCTATTTATTTATTTATTTTTTCCCCATTTCAAAATTACATAGTGATGCTGTGAATCTTTGAACTTACATGTGCCAAATTGAACATTATGAAAATTTATACTGGTGTAAAATATGTTCAGAAATGGAACTGTATAATACACAATTAAAATGATGCAATATTATGTAAGTTACGTGCATGCGCACACAACACACAAGTGAGTTGACCCTTGATTATCTGCAGTAACAGAGGGAGTAAGCAGCATGGATAATTAAAAGGAATGGATAATCCAAAAATCTGTAAATATCCACTACCCATGCTGCTTTCAACCCTAATATTAATTCATATTTATTGGTTGTGATACTGTCACAACAGTGAAACAGGTATCTTTCTAAGAGAAAAATGCAGTCCTTGTTCATTGGTAGACTTTAAGAAAAATAATGAAATAATAAAACAGAATATTTGTATAGGAGTGAAATGGTGTAAAGTCTACTGCAGATAGTTGGAAAGCATCACAGGTGCATGGTACTGGAAAATGTTATGGGCAGCAAATAATCATAAGGGGAAGCCATAATCAATACATAAGGGATTTTAAAATTAATCTGCATGCAGATAATTGAGTCACCTGCATTACATAATACTAATAACAATTAACGTTTTTCCTGCGAACCTTGCCATACAGGTTGAAGCATTTGAAGGTATGTATGTATCGTGAGTTTTCCAGAACTCCGTGCTCAACTAAGAATATATAGACAAATGGTATTACTGTAATAACCATCACACACTTCGTGTCATGTCCCATCCCTGTCTCATGTCTGAAACCTGTGTCTTCTTTGAAAACAGTAGTTTTGCATGTATTTGATGGTCAGTAATGCCTTCAAATATAACCCCGTTATGAATGTAGCTATAGTGATCAGTGCATTCCACTTGCAGAAGTGTGAGCTCCAGTCTCATGTTGTAATCATATTGTGTTGTAGGCCTAACTGAGAGTGATTTCTGTGGCTGATCATAAGAGTTACGTAGTTCTGTTCTTGTGAGTCAAGGGGTTGTAAGAAGGGGGAAGACAATGCTTTACTGAACGAGGTGAAATTCCTTCTTCCTGTCATGGGCAAAGTAAACAGATTTCACTTTCATCTATTGCTATGGTTCAAGAATCCACCAAACTGTACTTTCATTTGAATATAGCTTCATGACGTCATACTTAAGCACAGAACAAGAAGTTATATCTAATGCACAGTCAGTCAAATGGCGAATTTAGAGAAATTGTACTGCAACAGTGCATTTTGCTGTTTTGAGCCCAGTATTCAGTTTCATTTATCATTGTCATTACATGCACATTTCCTGTAATAGTAGTTGGTGTAGTCTTGCATTGGTTTATACAGTATAAGTGAAGTATAGTTCAATCATGTGCTGGGTATTGTGCCTTGATAGTGTATAGGAGTCATGGGGGGGGGGGAAGACATTTTAAATCCTTTCACTGGGTGGAACTGACTGGTATATTCTGCTGCTGGATGAGAATTGGATAGAATTTTATGGAAGCGGTGGAGAAGAGGATTTCCCATGTCTCTGCCTAGAATTAATCTCACCAGCACCTTACTGACTCAATGATAATAGCTCCCTCTGCATTGGTTTCTAGTTCAAATAAATTGAGTCTTGTGAAAATGAATACTTGTACTGTCTGGCTGAATAATGAAATGGATGGTGGCTTCTTCCACTTTTCATATGAGGGGGGGTAGGTTGTGTGAAGATCCATTCCCCCATTGTTGGCCGTCATTTGTCATCAGGAATGAGTAGACCAGTAATATGCAGTGCATATGATATTTAACGTAGGAATTGGGATATTTGACTGAAATCACCCCAAGAAAAGTCTGTAGGAAGACATCTGACTTGAAATATCCCTTATTAAGTTTAGAGGAAATTTGATTTTCATCAGCCTGGCAATTCATAGGAAGGATTGATGTTGTGACTTCTGCAAGAGGAAGAATGAAGTGAGGAGGAGGAGGAGGCATGAATGTCATTTCTAATATTCCAAACAGTTCTTCTAAACCAGTCACAAAGCTTTGTATGAATGAAGAGTGAGTTTATAGACTATTTTTTGGTAATTGAGTCATCCATTCATTCTGGAAGGAGGGATTAATAATGGTAATCATAATGGCTGTATTTATATGCACTAGTACACCTATGATTTTACATGGATCTAAAATTAGTTAAAAATTACCATAGGATGTCAAGTAATTCAAAAACACAAAACATACATATGCAGTGCAATTAAAGGTTTCACATAAAATATGCAGAGGGTTTGTATAAGTTATTCATTGCTTCAGATAATTCCACATATGAGCTATTTTTAGATAACAGGAATTCATGAACCAAATAGAATGGGTGTGTATTTACGTATCTTACCAGTGCTACAAATTTTGCCTTTTCATTTTTATGCATAAATTTGCAGCAGCATGAAAATGCTGTGCTCGTTACTAGATTCCTTTGTATGCAGAGAAACACTTGACATTTTTCATTATTCCTAGCATAATTTCAGGACCCTAGATTAAGGTGTGCTAGTATTACTGTTGCTTCACAAGTACATGTTTTTACCAGTTTTAGGAAATATAATGAGATAGGGGTGGGTCCCAAATTGCATAATGTTTGCACAGAATTTCATGGAAATTAGCTGGTTAAAATACTGTAATAGTTTGGGGGCTGCATTTCATAAGCTTACTTCTTGAAGGAAACTAAGATGGAAGAACACACGTTACTTGGAGACATCATTGAGTCTGGATTTAATACTCGTAGATTAACTACTGATCAGATACTGGATGGAAAATGGGAGTACAATGAGACAGTACATCAGCTCTCTATAGATGTCAAGAGACCTATCTTTCAATTCAGACGGGAATACTGTACCATATTCTCATTGAGTTTAGTACTTGATATCTCTGGAACCAAACAGGCTAATGAAAATGTGTTTGAATGAAATCAGTAGTATAGTCAGTATACATCTCCTATTTAGAATGGTCCAAAACAAGGAGACATTTCTTGGAATTGCTTTTCAGCTTTGTTAAGAATATGCCATTAGGAAGGTCCAAGAAAATGATATGGCTCTGAAACGGATTGGTACATCACTTGGGTCATCAGAATCATGTCACGGGGAAAGCACATTCCATCATTCAGAAATCCTTTGGTAAGGTTCTTTCTTACTTTTGTTAACCTTTGACCTCGCCAGAAGATGTGGTCCGGGGGGGGGGGTTCTTTAAATGTTTCGCATGTGTAGGTCACCTCCTTCAACCTCAACATCATACGGTCTGGACCAGTCTGGACGGCTTTTACCGCTGTTACTTGAACGAAATATACGCAAATAATTTAAATTTTTAACGAAAGATGTCGCAGAATCGGCTGTGTGACCCAACAGCAATACAGCTGAAGAAGAAAAGTTGTTCAATGTTCCGTGCTATCGTGTCTTTAGTTATCCGTGGTTATAATCGGTAATAATCGTTCTAATCATGGTAAATGTTGGCGTTTAATAGGTTTGAGGTAGGCGTTAGTTTTGATATCGAAAAATTTTATTTTCTGGTGTACTTTGAGTATTAAGTTACGTGTGGATGCTGACCGTGTTGTAATTCATGTATTGCTTCTTCCAATACAAAATGGTTAGGATGAGGTGCTGTGTCTGTGGATGGACCAATCGGAAGGATTCGCCCCCTTGGCATGCGGGAACGCCATTTCACAGGTTTCCCACTAGTCGGAGGCGGTATGTCGTATAATATGTTGGTTTTTATTTGTGACTGGCTGTGACGAAATTAACCTATATTATTACTAATAACAATATAATGCTGCCAACTTCGCACTCTTATATCTGTAGCGGTTCATTCAGTAGTTACTGGAATACCCATTTAAGAGAATTAATTTATCCTCGGTTACGATAATCAAGTCAAAGTCACATCGCGACTGACGGTCAGTCAGTCAGGTCATGACCACATATTAATTATTACCGTTTGACAGTTACGGTCTTGTTTCTGTGGGGCGCCTTCTCTGACGAGAGGACGGGTCTGTCTTTTGTATATCAAAGTCAAAGTCACATCGCGACTGACGGTCAGTCAGTCTGTCTTGGTGTCGAGCTCCGATTGGGGCTCATGACCAGATTTTTTTTTTGTTTATATGAAAGTTACTGTCCTGTTCATTTGGGGCGGCCTCTCTGACGAGATGTCGGGTCTGTCGTTTTTTCAGTTACGATAATTATATTTCAGTGGCGTTTTATTATTTGGTAGGAGGTGTGGGAACCACCCACAGTGAATGGAGAGCTAGCCAATCACAGGCTAGGAACCAGCCAATGCTAAGCAACGGCCGGTTCTTAGCCTGTGATTGGCTAGCTCTCGATTCATTGTGGGTGGTTTCCACACAATTTTAACTACTTGCGTAAGGACCCCATCTGGAGGCGGGGTCGAATACCTCCACCGTGACCCTGTGAGTGGTAGGAGGGGGCTCGACACCGAGACTTACTGACTGACCGTCAGTCGCAATTTAACTTTGACTTTGACTTTGCATAAGGCAAAATTTAAATTCTCGCCTTTTTCCTAATGCTTAGAAATTACCATTTAAAGCGGAAAATTTGCAAATTTGATACCCCATGAACTGTAAGGGACAGTTAGAGTAAATAAGGTATTTTTTTGTTCCAAAGCTCTTTAACATTGATGCTAATGGTAAAGACTCGCGTGCGTGTATGGGGTACTCAAACTGGAGAAAATACCAAGTTTACTGTCATAATTGCTCCCAAAAATCGGTGGCCAGTTCCTGAATTATTGGAAGACTGTTTGTGGAAACCATTGATGTCAGCAGCATTAGACATTTTATGGCTTATAGAAAGTGACCTCTAACAGCAGGCACTTGCAGACTTAAAACAGAAGAAGTCATGAACTTGCAGCTGGAGGCTTGTCTTTCAAAACAAGCTAATATTATATTGTATCATTCTTTTGCACTTTTCATTTAGTGTTTTTAATTCTACAGTCTTATGTGCAACAATTTATTAAAACTTAATAAAAGCCAGTTACTTTAAAAGTTTTCACGGTGTGTTTTGATCAGAGTAGTTATCATCAGGTGTTAAAACTTGTGGGTGAGGAAACTGCTGTCTTTCTGCATTGATTAGTGGTTGATATATGGTTCCCCAAGTGCTCATATGTGTCCATAACAAGTGTAATTCTTCTATTAGATTTTATGTTTGTAAAGTTTTCTTGTTTAATTTTAATTGTATACTTACATTCCTCCTTTCTGTGTTAAGTTCCTTCTCTTGTTTTCAACTGCTTGTTAAGTTGGACTGGATCTTATGTTGTTCCTTGTAGCCTGTGTTTGTTCTTTATATCAGGTCTGGAATGTTCAGCATGTTTGCCCCATATATTTTAGTGGGCAATCCATACATCTCATTTTGTACACACCACTTCTTTTGTACTTGTCTCTTGGTGGCTGGGGTTTTATTAGGTTTTGTATTATGTTTTTTGTTTGGAATGCCACTTTTATTTGTGCTTCTTTACACGTGAACGACACGTGAATTGACACATATAACCCACTATTCGAGGTTATACAAGACCTGAACACCAAATAGTGACAAATAAACATAAAAATAAGAACCAGTCCAACTCAACAAGCAGTTGAAAACAGGACAAGGAACACAATATGGTGGGGAACATAACATAGGGAGGAGGAATGTAAGTACGCAAACAAGTAAAATTATACAAGAAAACTTCATAAAAATAAATTCCAATAGAAGAATTTACATTTGTTACAGGCACACATGCACTAGGGAAACCATATATCAACAAATAAACATCAACACAGAAAGACAGCAGATTCCTCAGTCACAACTTTTTAACACCTGGTGATGATCACTATGGCGGAAACATGTTGTGAAAACTTTTTAAAGTGACTAGGCTTTCTTAAGTTTTAATAAATTGTTGCATGTAACACTGTAGAAATAAAGGTATGAAGTCAAAACAAGCTCTTGTGAACATGGTAATGAATTTTTGGGTTGCATGAGAGGCAGTAAATTTCTTTATTAGATGATTGACAGGTTCTCAAGAATTACTCTGCTTCATGTGTAGTTGTGTGTGTGCATGTGCATGTGCATGCATATATGTGGGCACACGAGTTATTTTGCAACATCAGAGGCTCAGACTATGTAGCATAAAATGGTTGGATGATTGCTGAATAATAAATTGGAAAGGATTGGGAAGGAAGCAGTCATTACTTAATTGAGCTACTGTCCTAGCATTTTCCTGGAGGACTGAGGAAAGCCATGGAAATCTGAGTTGGGATAGTTGGTGTTCCAGCTGAGATTCAAACTCAGCATGTCTTGAATTTAAGTCTAAAATATTACTGCTAGTCTAACCTTCTCACATATTTAGTTAGAAGGCAAGTAGAACATGAGTTTATATATTTATAAAAGATAGTTGATAATTTCGTGATTAATTAATATCAGTTATCTTTTCAGAGCAGAAGTTTGGGTTCGAGCTTTAAATAATTCTAAACTGGTTGTTGAAGAAGCATATAAGTATAGCAAGGACATGGTTGTCTGCCAGCGTCATTTTGAAACTTCCCAGTATAATACTCCTGAAAGGTTGCGCCTCAATCGGAATGCTGTACCCACACTGTTTTTAGCATCGTCTGATAGTACTGAAGATGTGGTTACAGAGTCACAAATCCAGAAAGTTATATCGTTGGAAAGGTTGGTAATCTGCATAATGATTTACCAGATTCTGTAATGTTATATTTCACAGAGTATTTTGAAGGCAGGAAATGTGCCTGTATGAGTATGAGAATAAATTAACCCCACGGTCACTAGGATTTAAGTTCCCAGGCACGTTCCACAACCTTAGTTCTTCTGAGTCTTTTAAAGGTTGTGATGCATAGCTTTGATTAAAAATTTCTGTGTCAGTTATTTTTCATTTGAAATTTATAAAACAAAAAGGAGATCAAATTACTCTCCCCCTCCATGTATATTATCCCATGTTTTGCACTAAAACTACATTTTTATGACTCAGAATAATTGCCTCTTCATCTGTTTTGGATGGGTATGAGTGTGTTCTGAAGTAATGGGCACTTTCTAAATGTAAACTGAAGAATGTTATTTAAAATACAAAGGAATCTTTTGTGAAGTGTTACACTTACTTCGGTTGAGAGTGTGTGCTGAGTGTTTTGTTGTGTTATTCTCTCTTCTATCTGAATGGTTATTGGCATGGCTGAAGATTGTTTGCAGTTCACCTCCACCGCCAGTAACAGAAAGCTGACACCTGTATGATCATCATGGAGGTTTTGCAACTCTCAGTAAAGTAGTGAATGACTCTGTCGCTTAGGACAACTGGTGAACAGTAATTCATACACAGGCTGGGAGCAGTTGCTTTGGTGTAGTACAATTTTAGCTATCGAAGCTGCTTAGACTTACTTACGTACGTACTTACTTACTTACGTACTCACTCACTCATGGAGCTGAGGCCTTCTGGAGTAGCCACCAATTCTGCAGCTACTCAAGAATTTCCCAGCATTTTATGGAACCCAAAGGTTCATTACCGTGTTCACAAGAGCCCTCCACTGGTCCCTATCATGAGCCAGATCAATCCAATTCATACCATCCCATCCTGTCTCTCTAAGAGCCGTTTTAATATTGTCCACCCACCTATGCCTTGGTCTTCCCAGTGGACTCTTTCCTTCTGGCTTTCTCAAGCTGCTTAAGACTACATTTCTTTAATAGAAATTACTCACCTTTAGAAAATTGTTCTCTTTGATTCATTCAATGTCCAAAACAAGAAGAGCTCTTTTTAGCATATATGTAATTCTTTGTCTTTTTCTGTGTGTGGAAATGCTTGAAGCAGGGAAGCACACACCAAGTAACATGTTCACATGTTCACTCACATTTTCTTGAACTTGGCACTAGTTGGAGGTGAGTGGTCAGCTTCACACCCTGGCCGCTTTAGACATGGGTGGAGATTGTTGTTAATGAACTCTCCTGTACTTTGCATGTGTTATATGCATATATTTTAATTGTGACCACACAAAATGAGTACTATGCTTGTCTCATTGCAGGTACAATACTACCCAGAAGTTTACACAGCCAAGTGAACAAGATGAAGAGTCAAGAGGAACTGATGTTAGCGAAGAGACAGGTATTGGCGTGTATAAAACAAGAAGTCAGACTGGTAGCATACGCAGGTTTTAATGAAAAAGTTTGGGAGGGATGAATATTTTTTTTTTTATGATTTCAGTGATGGAAATAAATAATACCTGTTGCTGGTTGTGTGCTAGCAATAGTACTTTTTAGGATGTGGTGTGTTATATACACCATATTAATTTGAGTATGAGATGACCTCGTTTCACATTGGAAAATGAGAAGGATAAACATTATCATTCACTACCTATATAAAAGTCTCATATACTGTGCTCCACCACGAATTTGTCTTAATATGTTCAGTTGCATCCTCCCAGCCTATTTCATAAGATCCATTTTAATATTATCTCTCCATCTATGCTCTTGTTTCAAAAATGGGCTCCTCCCTTTAGGTTTTTTGATTAACAATTTGTATGCATTTTCATTACCCCAATGTGTGCTACATGCCCCACCTGTTACACACACACACACACACACACACACCACCCCCCGTCCCAAGTGCAAACAATAATTGGCTGATGAGACATACATATGAAGTTTTATGAAGAAATTGAAGGATGGCACCTATTTTGGAAATTAAGGGGTAGATGGAAAAAATTCTCTAATGAATGTTATGCAGTAGGCTGAGAGAGGGTGCACTAGATACAAGGCAAAAGAGGTTGGTCTAGTAGTCGGTAGGTGCTTAGTTTGTATCTTGCCCAGGACACCAGTGATTATTACTGAGATATTTTTTTATATTATTTTCCTCAGTCCATGCACAAAGTGGGATAATGCATTGATTAGGCCATGACAGTTTCCTTCCAAATTTTTTTCAGTTCATTTACTATTCAGTACTATATAGACCGGATAAATTTCATTAAATAACTCACAATAGTGTATTCACCTGGCTTAGGATGGAGTCTGATGGTTGGGCTCTTCGAATGGCATAGTGAACCTTTGGGTTCCATAAACTTTGGGAATTTCATGACCAGGTGAGCAGATGTTAGCTTTTCAAGAGATGGTTAGTGAAAACAGTTTTCCACGTAGCAAATGGACAGTAAAGATGGTGTATTGAACTATTGTCTTCCCTGTGGTTTATGCGTATCATATTGAGTAAAGGAAGTGTGCAGTAGTATCAGTATTGAAAGTATTTGTATATACAAAAAGTGCTTTAACTTTGCTGACCGGTTCATGGCTCTGTGCTTCATGGTGACTGTTGTGCTGCTCACCACTAGGAGCATGCAAATTTTGCTGATGAATTAGCATACCTGATGGCTGATGAAGTTATTGCTTACTGAGGAGAAGTTGGATGACACAGGGGTCAGACTTGAACATACACCTAGCAAATCACTGAAACGTCTAGCTCAAGAGACAGTAGTGTCAGAGTCTAGTGCAAGAAGGCAACACAATTGCTGATGATTAGACCCTATAAAACAACACTAATTCATGCCTTGCAGGTGTGCAATCCAGCTAGCACGGTTCAGTTCTGGAGTTGTTTCTACAGCCTGTCACTGAAGGCAAGATTGATTCACAATTCACATTCTTCTCTGATGAAGCGTGGTTTCACTTGCAGGTACACATAAATATGCAGACTGGTCGCTACTGTAGTTCACAGTTCTAACCCACTATGTCCTACTCCATCCAGTGAAAGTTGGTGTCTGGGGTACTGTAAGTGCAAGGATTGTTGTATTTGTGTTTTTTAACAAAACATATAAGTGTGGAAGATATCTGCATGTAGAGGGGCAGCATTTTCAGTACCTCTTATGATCTGTGAATTGTAACTACTTCATTTCAAACGTTATTAGTCAACAGGCTTATTGATTCATCTTCAAAATTCACATGCACCTCACAGCCGACAGTGCACCGGTCACCATGAAGCGCAGAGCCATGGAACCAGTCAACAGAGTAAAAATCTGCCCTGTATTTGTTGTATGTCTATGTTGACATTCAGTCAACCCCAAACTAGTCAGTCTGACTGTCGTTTCTTTGTCTTCCATCACTCTTTAGATGATTACGCACAGAAACAATTTTCTTCTGTTGTCCAAATGCCTGCCTTTGCTTCAGAGCAGAAGTACATACTGTGAAGTGATAATAATATATGTACCTAACATTCTTTATTGCCCTGATTCAGAAACTCTGATTTGCACAGATCCGATGCATTGTCATTAATATTTGTCATAATTCTTTTGCTATATTTAGGTACCCAGGAGGACACCGGAAGTCAGCTTTTGACCAGTGTGGACAGTGAGTTGCATAGCTGTGAATATAGCAATGAAGGAGAATTACAGCAACAGCAGAAGGCTCAGGAATGTGGGGGAATGTCAGTACAGGAAGACATTAAATCGGGAGAAGATGTTTTGACAGAAACTGATTCATTTGAACACCGCAGTTCAAATGGGATTGAAATTGATCTTCAGAATGTCTGTAGAGAACCAGAGACACATGTTGGTGGCACTGCAGTGAATGAGAGAGATAGAACTGAAACTTGTGACATCACATCTGATCATGGGGACACTGATGAATGCAGAGATGTAAAGTTTATTCCAAACGAGCCCTGTACAGTAGCAGTAGATTCATGGGAAAACCTACCAAATCAACTGTGCCGACTCTGTGCGTCTACAGATGAACATCCAAAGCAGTCAATTGTTGGCTGGCTGGGTATGCTAAATGAAATAATTCCAGATTTGGTGAGTTGTTTATATATGCTTTCTATTCTTGAAGCCATTGTATCACTACATAACTGCATGAGAGTTGTGGTGTTTCCAGCCTCAACTCTGTTATTTTCATCATAGTACTGACAAATTCTTTTCTGTCCATGCTGTATTATTGTGATTGCTACCCAGCTTGAAGTATATCCTTTTCTGCCAAGAAAACTATAGTTGTTTAATACAGATGTGTGATAGTCACTCAAGCACAAGTGTGCCTCTATAGGGAACAGATTTTCCAGGCAGTTTTAGCTGTTAAGGCATTCCCTGCTAAAATTGATTTTCAGACAATTTCAATGTTGACTTAGTTGATTTAGCGTATGTCTCCTTTCAACTTAATTAAAATTGCATTAGATTACATGACCTCTGAGTGGAGGTTCATGAGTGGGTCATTTACATGACTAGGCTTTACCAACTGCCTGTTTTTTTCTTCCTTTTTATTTTAATTTTGTATTTATGACACAACGAGGCAGTTCACGTGAGAGATGTAACAGTTTTTTGACGTCCATGCTGATCTTTGGTGTTCAGTATCTTGTTTGTGTTAGCAGCACTAACAGAAGTTGCAGAGATTATGAATAACAGTGATTCTGATAAACATGAGTCAGGTCTATGAGAAATATCAGAGGTGAATGAAGTAATTTTGAATCATCAGGTAACTTGGGTTGGCAAGAATTTTCAAATAGTGCCTATCATCCTCCATATGATCCTTTATTGTCAATCCTGCAGTGCAGTTTATATTCCGAGGCTGCCACAACCTGCCTGAGAACTGGAACATCTTACATCTGACTTTTTATAACACACAAATGTAGTAGTAATTAGTTGTATTAGTTGTGGGTTGTAACAATTGTGCTGTCATTTTTACCATGAAAAATACTGAAATTGTTTCGAACTTAGAAAAGTGTGATGAAGGACATCAGACTATGTAGAACTGTTCTAGAAATTGTGTTTTTTGTATTGAAGAATATAAAATGCATAAAAAACCAGGGGAGGAGGCCACCGTTTGATGAAAGCAGCATGTACATGTCCTCATCTTCCAAGATATATGTGGTGTATGTGATATAAATTTAATGGCAGAAACTGTAGAGGTCTGGGCAAAATGGCAGGCAAACAAAGGTAGAGCCAAGATATATTATTTATCACACCTGTTCTCAAGGTGTGGATCATGGAGTTCAGCATCTTTCTTATTGTATCATGATATGAAACATGATAGTTGTTAAAGAAAGTTTATATTATTGCCCATACTGTACTCTGTCACCTGAGCAGTAGCTCAATGAAAAAATTTCTATGCTACACAAAGGAAAGGGATGGAGAGAGGCGAAAGAAAGAGATCTGCCATCTAGTGATTAAAAATGACACCAGATATTGTCTGAAGAGAAATCACAAACTCATTCAGATTCCTTCCTCCAAAGTGATGAATATTTGAGAAGATGTTGCAGTGTGTGTATCTGAGGAAGAACAAGAAGGAAACCAGATTCCTGTGTCTTCTCTGTGGGATTCCTGTGTATTTTGAGGGCTGATGCACATGGTATCACATGCTTAAAATCTGCCGAAGGTAGTGTGAAAACTTAATTTTTCTTTTCTGGCATTTGTGAAATATTTTTTCATCAGGCAGTGCAGCACCCAGCGCTTAAAACCATGCACATTTAAAATTAGATCTGAGTTTAAAAGGCCACCAGTGAAGGTATTAATAATTGCAGCTTCAGAACTATCAGGACAGAGCAAATAATGGAACCTCAATTTAACATTCATACGTTTTAGGTTTTTCTACATATAATATTCAAGTTCAGCGATCCAAAGTCAAGAAATCTTTCTCAATTTGGTGTTCAAACCCACTGCTGCCCAAAGGAACCTTAAATGGGGTTTCATATTGTGGCTTGTATGCAGGAGACAGCTTGTGCATGCCGAGATGTGTAGGCTTCCTTCATCGCGGAAGCATAATTTTTCAGTTGGTGATAGAATAGCAGATAGGTACCAGAGGAGAGCCCATTCATTTTGTTTGGAAGGTGCTGAAGTGGGGTAATAAATAGATCACCTTGAGCAGTGAGTTGGTATAAAAATTTTGTCAGTAACTGAGAAAATTTATGTTGGAAATGTGTCTTATTCTTTGAACAGATTATGGCAGACAAATTTATGTTAATGGCATTGTAGGTACAAAGACAGTTCTAAATTGGAAGGTGACCCATGCTGTGGATGGCATGCATCATTAACAGTTTGAGAACAGTGGGAAGCCAGTGCAAGACTGTGTTTGCTCTGTATGTTATCAGATGGTAGACATGGGTGCGGAGAAGTCAGAATTTCAACACCATTCCCAGTAAGGATCAAGAAATGCGTTGCATTAGCCTTATATAGCAACATCACTGACACAAGAACGGTGTGAAAACTGCTTGAAGGTCAGTGATGAGTTTGTCAATACAGTAGATGAAGGTTTATAATTTGTCTGCAAGATTGTAATACATGACACACTCTGGTGTTTCCTGAATGAAGTCCAGAGTAAACTACATTACTGTTTGTGTGGAAGTCCCTGTTATTGTTAAGTCATGAAATTCTGGCAGTACTGCTGGTATGGGAAGATAATATTACAAGTGGTTTTGGATGCTAGGGCATCATGAAGTATGAGTTTATTTCTTAGAGTGCTGTGGTCAAGAAGGAAAGGCATAAAAAATGAGCTTCTTTGCTGGATGCAGTTTGTATGAAGTGTTGCAAGATGTGGGTACCACAGCACATGAGTTACTATTTCTATAGCATCATATCACAGAGCAACTTACTGTAGTAATTCCCCAGGTACTCACTCCTAGCCATGCACGTTATGATTTTAGTCTCTGTGGGGAAGAAGGTCATGTATGGTTCTTTCTAGAAATAGTCCAAACTGTGCAAATGCTTGCAGGAGGTTGCAGCTGTTGGAGAATGGTATTTTGGATGCATCTCTTTGTGTATGGAGTGTGTTAGTGCCATTGTGGTTGAGGTATGCCTTCTGTTCTATAACATTTTGAAGTAACCATAAAATATACCAATACATTTATTCACACACCATTAAATTCCATTCAGAGGATGGATGTCTTCAATTTCTGGAACAGAATCATAACCACTGGAAGTTTGTACTCACTGATAATATAACTACTTTGTGAACTATATTGTACTGAATTTGAGTTACGCACTGTATGTATAAAATTATTCAGACTTCCAGTTTTGGAATCTGAAAATTGTGATCTACAAGCACTAAGTGTAGAGCAGAAAGAGCATCGAATTTGTCATATATTGTGAACTCTATTATGCAAAAAAATTACCAATATTTTATTCTACGTTTGTAATGTTGCTTTCAAGACTAAACAGTAGTCATCGCAAAAGGATGCTTGATCTTCACTTTGATGAATGGAAGCAAGACTGCCATGATTGGGCTTGAAAGTAATGTTCGATATGATGGTTATTGACAACCAAGGTCTTGTGTGAAATGTTTTGTTTGACATGGTGAGACAAGTAAATCTTGAAGGGGCTTAGAGGGATGAAATTTGGTGAGAATGGTCTGAAAAATGGAAGTTTGATTTATAAATATTACATCATAGCAGTTCCAGCATTAACCATAGTGAAATTCTTGACCATGCTCAATGCTCTACTTCTTCATGTCAGCTGCATATACCGTATTTAGCCCTTCATGATATTCTTCTGTTATGTGAACTTGAAAGTATACAAAACAGAGATTTCGTAAGTGCCAGAGATCATACAAGATGCATCATGGCAATTAAACAGTGTCATAAAAGTACTAAATATGCTTCAGCAACTGAAATCTGCATGTTTCCTTGTAAGGAGACTATCTTGAAGAGGATACCTTTGATTAACAAATAAAAGAAGAAATATATAATAAAGATCAACATTTCCTGTCCTGGTTCCTTTAACATTCAGTCTTACAATGTCCCTTAAAATTGTATCTCAAGAATGGAATGATAAAACATGGACTGCATCATAATTGGAATCATTAGACAAGGGGTTCTTATTTATTTATGATGTACTCAACAAAGTATAAGTGAGGGTGCCTGGCATAAAATTTATAAATACACTCATTAGCACCGAGATGTGTAATTTTCAGATATACAGTGAACCTCCCATTTTTGGCTTCTTTGGGGATTACTGGATTTGGGCACTAAATTGAGGAACTGTTTCGCTTAGATTATTGACTTTGAATCATTGCAATTGAATGTAACATAAAGGAAAAGGAATGATTATTGACTTCAGATCATTGAAATTGAGTGTTACATAAGGTAAAAGGAATATATTAAGGAGTATTAATGGGAGTTCTGCTGTAGTGAGTAATATTTGTTTCTCATAATTGTGTAAGTATTAATGTAATTTTTTGTAGGTTGCCTTGGATGATGGACTTCCGCAACATATATGCCGGCCTTGTACAAACAAGCTATATACTTGTACTAAAATAAAAGTAGATTTTGTTGAAGCATATAACAAGCTCCAAGAAAGCTGTGGATTTGCAAGGTCACCAGGAATTCAGTTCACAGATATTCCATTGGCCATGTCTGATTACCCTGAAGAGCATTTTCTACCTGAGACTGAAGAGCAGTTAGTTTCTGAGACTGAAGAGCAGATAGTGCCTGATGCTGAAGAACAGTTAGTGTTTGAAGATGGAATACAGTTAGTGTCTGAGGTCCCTTCTGAAGGCCTTTGTAGAGTTACACTGAGCTCTAAAGATGATTTTCTTGAAGGCAAGCAGATGACCTTAAATACTGGAGGTGATTTGTCATTAAATCTTGAAGAATATGCTATTTCAGCCACTCGTGGTGAGGCAGTCCTTCAAGGAAGTTTTCCACAAGGTGAATCAGAGAGTTTTGTTGACACCTCAGGTGCATGTGACATAAAGGAACGGAAGGTAGGAAAGTATAAGTATGTATGTGGTGAGTGTGAGGAAATGTTCACAACAAAGGGAGCTCTAAATGCCCATAGACTTACCCATCCTAAAGTTTTTGAATGTGAATGTTGTAGGAAAAAGTGTAGATCTGCAGCGCAGTTAGATGACCACAAACGTATTCACACCAAGGAGTTACCATTCATGTGTGAGGTGTGTGGAAAATGTTTCCGAACCACAATGCAGTTACACAGCCATAAATATGTTCATAAACCACGGATTTATGCTTGTGAAATATGTAATAAGAAATGTAGTGGTAGGTTTATCTTAAGACAGCACAAGAAGGTGCATTTTACAGACACAAAGCTGATATGTGAGGTGTGTGGAAAGATACTGTATACTCCCTTTAGCCTTCAGATTCACTTGCGAACTCATACTGGTGAAAAACCTTTTCAGTGTGATGTGTGCGGGAAATGTTTTATTTCTGCTGGAAAATTGAAGCATCATAGGGTTATTCACGCAGATCAAAAGTTCCAATGCATTACATGTGGTAAGGTATTCAATTTCAAACAGTCATTAGTAGAACATGAAGAATGTCACTCTAAGCTGCAATATTACAGGTGTGTGATCTGTTTTAGAGCGTATTCTAATATACGAAACATGAGAAGCCATCGTAGGATATATTGTAAACAGCCTATTTGTATTGTTTGCAATGAGACTTTTCTGACTGATGAGATGGTTAGAGAACATCGATCAAAGGAACACACTCAAGGAGAAATTACATTGGCAGCAAAAATATATAGTCGACAGCAGCGTTGTAAATGTCCACTTTGTGCCCAGGGTGTAACTGGAATAAATAACATGGTGAAGCACATGAAGGAGTGTCACAGTGGTTACAATTATGAACCATTTGGTTGTGAACAATGTTCTGAAACATTTTCTACTGTCAGTGCCTTGCATATACATACAAGATGTCATAGTGAAAACCGGTTATTTAATTGCCTGACTTGTGGTAAGGGATTTAAGGCGAAGAAAACACTCAAGTGGCATAATTTGTCATTCCATAAAAATCAGAGGACTGTCTGACTTGATTGCGCATAAGAGGAAAAACTTGGGAAGACCATTCTTTTACCCAGTGTGTATTCAGAAATTTTTCACAAGAAGTGACATGTTAAGACAGAAACATTCCCAAAGTAATTAAAATATAGCATCAAAATAAGTGGTCGAGGGAACCATATTTGTGAGTGAAACTGTATGTCATTCCCAAGACTTGTCATCACAAGTAATGCTAATTGCAGTCAGGAGTTAGTATACAAAACAAGTTATCTCATACACATGGAGACAACTTATTCTGTTTACTTGTATTCATAGAAATCCAGGAATCCATTACATATTTTTGATGGAATACCATTTTTATGCCTGTAATGACCTTGTGTATATGGACAAAATTAAGGATTAAAGAGACTGAGTTTTTCAGGCAGCATTTGATACCATATTCTGAATTAAGCTTAATGTATAGGGTTGCGTTTGCACTTGCAGAACATCTTCCAGTGTTGCTGCTTGGTATTTAAAATGAGAATCACCCTGTTTCCCTTCATGATTGTATGTGATTATATTGAAGCAGTCATCACTGATGTCTGATTCTTGTAGCCATGGGTATTAATGTGGATTAAGAGTAATGAAGTATGTAATGAAATGCATGCTGAAGTTTGTAATCAAGTCTGGTTCTGTGTCCAAGAACAGAGACTTATAAAAGGGCCTAGAAGTGGGCTTTGTGACCATTAGTGTGGTGTCTGGTGCAAGAGATTCTCTTGGTAACACAGCCGCTTGTTCTTGACATCACCATTGTGATTGCATAACTTGTTTGCTTCTCTTAGGCTGGGGCTACACGAGCGCACAAAATGCTGTCCATTGTAGAAATACACAAGAGAGGCGAATGCTACGCTTTCTTCTGGCTCCATTGCAGACAACAAACTACGCACCGCATTCTGCAACTGTGTGGTGTCCTCAGCAACGTCCATCATAAAGTACGTTCCTTGCAATTGATGTACTTTGTGCGCTCGTGTAGACAGGGAGCTTAATCCTCCCACTGGCTGGAGTTCAGTATGTGTAGTCTAAGAACACAGCTACCTGTCATGTATGGTATACTTTATAGTTAAGTATACAGTCAATGTATGTAACATGGTTACAAGTTATGTGTATGTATTATATGGCTGGGACACATATATAAAACTGCTGGTATATCTTTGTATCCATTTTGGAGTTGGTCTCAGAAATGACTGCTGCACAACTCAGTATGCAGCCTTGTAAAACGAATGTTGCAGGATCAGCCTACTGCCTAGATATAAATTTATTATAGATAGAATTGGTTATATCACTATCTAAGCATTGTAATATTTGTATGCTGGAAGCATGAGTTTAGAATTTTCTGAATATTGATAATATACATAATCGCACTCAGTCTCGTGTTTATTTAAATAGGAAATAGAGTTCAGTTGAAAAAATCACCGGTTGTGAGTTTCAAAGAGCTTGTTGTCAAGACGAACTGATTGGCGATAAACCCACCGGTCATAAAGCAACACTGACACAGACACAGAAATATCTATTACGCTTACTCGTTCGTTTATTTATTAATATTGACAATATTAGGACTGGCGCACGTCAGTGTCCGTTTTTGCTGTTCGGGGAAGTAACTTACAATTTGTGATGTTCATCGTATTCTGATTTTTTTTTTTTAGAATATTTTCTTGAAGGGGTTGCCGATTATGTGCAAAATAATTGCAAAAACGGAGTTTAAAGTTATCCCTGCGCTTAATTAAACACAAGCCATGAAAACATATTGGGGAGTGGAGGTATAGCTCCATGCACTAGGTGGAGGTGAGTGATATGGCTCATGCCATGGACTCTTTACACCTGGGAGAAAGAAGCTGCCGGTACATATTTGACAGGAGGCTGGTTGGGCCCCAGAGCCGGTCTGGACGCTTTGGAGTACAGAAATATCATTTTCCCTATTGGCTATCGAACCCTGATTTCTTGATCGCCCATTCCTGTAGCCTAGTCGCTGTGCCGATGTAGCTATTAGAGCTCATTTATAAACATTTAAGGTGAATAATTTGTCCACTGATTATGTATTTTAATTCCCAATTTGTCACTTTGATGTATTCTTCGAACATAAACATTCACCTGTTTTGTTCAACGATACGTTAACTTGCAAGTGATTGGATTCATGGATACTGTTTCCTGAATAAACTATTACTGAAAGTAATCTAAGCCCGCCAGTTAATGCTGAGTGTTATCAGACTTTGTTGATTCACGGTTGTTTTCAGGAATTATTCTGTAATTTTATTGCATCTCTGTGGTCTAGTGGTCAGAGTCCCTGGATACAGGTCCAGAGATCCCGGGTTCGATTCCCGGTGCTACCAGATTTTCTGAGAAGTAGTGGGTCTCGAACGGGATGCACTCAGCATCGTGAAGATAATTGAGGAGCTATTTCAAGGAAATAGCGGATCCGGTCTAGAAAACCGAGATTAACGACCGTGGGGATTCGTTGCGCTGACCACGCGACACCCTCTATCCACTAAAGTTGGCACTAACTTCGCCGACAAGCGGCGGTCGCTCGGTCGGTATAATTCGCTTTCGGACTAAAGCCATGGAATTTAGTTTTAGAGAGATTTCGTGTTTATATCGACTGGTCTCGTATAGCTATTTAGAATCCGTTTCTGTTTATGAACCTATTTCAAGCTACTTGTTTGGATAAGATCTAAGAGTTGTGGTGTTGGTTTTTTTTTTATTATTGCGACTAACCGCTTGAGCTATGGCGTGGCCTTGTGGTGTTTGTTTCTGGACATTATTCATCGTTATGTCTTTGTCTAAAACACCGTCCTGTTTGTTTTTCAAAACTTAACGTTTCGAAGACGATTTTATCTCCGTCTTCAGGTAAAACCTCATTTGGGCACAACTGAATAGGTTTTACCCGAGGACGCAAAGGAAACATATAAATGTATAACCAACTTCCATTCGATATTGTTTTCTACATGGCGAAAGACTATCAGATATAAGTTTTACGTGTGTTAAGAGTCCGAAAAGAAAGCAAAAAAATATAACAAACCTGTATCTCAGTTGGGTTACAAGCATTACCATAATCAAGAAAAGCAAGTCTTGAAACCGAGTCATAAAATATTTGCTGGGCTAATGTGGGATACAAATGGAACTTATCTCAAATTGACATGTTGGAATAGAATGAAATTCTGAAAGAAGTAAGACAAGCAGGCGAGGCTAAATTGATTAAATATCATAGTCTCCACCTTTCCCATGTTATCCTTTCCTCCCTTCCAACTTGTGATGTGCTTTCTCTCTGTAAGATGGCGCAAGACAAAGTGGACAGCGAGGGATAACACCAGCTGGCGTGGCAATGAAAACTTGTCATTGTTTGTTCTTCTTTTAGATGATTATATTGTGTAACATATGTTCCATATATGTTGTGACTGAGAAAACTCTCCGAGACGTGTCTTGGATAACTTCCAATATATGTTCTTTTATGACTTCCTCCGTTTACGTATAAACAGTATCCTCCAGCTGGAACAGAAGAGTTTTAAATAAAGAATTATCCCTTTCTGCCGTTATATATCAATATCACGTCTTATCTCAGCAGTACGTCTTCTTAATATTTTGTGAACTACAATATTGTACTTCATTGGTGGTCGGCAGAACACAAGTAGGGAGACAGTTATGGAAGATTATTTTGTGCAATCCATCCTTCTGAAGATGGTCAATCCGACCGAAACATGTCAAGGAAAATGAAAAATTTAAATACACCTTTTATTAATCAGTCTCACTGGATGGTGTTGAGAGTCATTTTATACTACTACTAGTGTGACGGACCAGGATGAGCCAGTTCAAACTATATTTAAGTTTATTTCTGTACAGTATCGGTCGCTTCGGCCAGGCCACAGCCGCAAGAGTCGGTCCGTCGGGTAAATTGTTTTGCTGGCCCTCGTGAGCACAGTGAGACTTGTTTCCGGCGCCAAATTTTTGTGTCTCGCAACTCTTTGAGTGCCGTGCAACTATGGTGCAAGATTCGTTTAAGACCTCGGATATTTATCAGAAACTGTCTGAATGAATGAAGATGAGACGAATTGTGGCCAAATCATCGGGACATAATAGTTATATGCAGAAGTTTTCGGGCTGTGACCCCAATTGTCGCCACTGGTGTCAGAATAAAAAATATACGATAAAAACTCTGTCAGTGTAAGGTAAAGTTGTCCCTGTGCTTAACTAATAAAGCACTATGCCATGAATATGTATGGGGAGAGGATGTATAGATCCTCGTTTTCTGGACTTTAGCACTAATTAGAGGTGATTAGTCAGCTTAACGCCCCAGCCGCTTTACCACCAGGGATAGAGCCCTCGGTACCCATAGGATAGGAGGCTGGGTGGGCCCTAGAACCGGTCTAGATTCTTGCCCAAATTGGGACTCGAATTTCGAACCCTCGGTCGTTGAGACCATAGCCAGTCTCTGTATCTATCAATGTAACGACACTTACTTACCTGAAGACGGTTGTAAAGCCGACTCCAGAAAAGTTGTGTTTATGAAATATACCTCAGACAGTGGACAGTGTCTAAAATTATATTCATCCAATGGATCAGCGAGTAGCACAACGTATTATTTGTTGTTCACGGAATCAGACTTGGTTATTAGTTATATCTTCCGTTAGCATTGGTGCTCCTGTTCGTAAGAGAATCTTGGTGATACTCATAGGCCAAGAGGAGGTAGGCGAATAATATTTTACTAATGCAACGCACGTTGAGAATGCCACGGGGAACCCCCTACTCATACTATTGATTTCTTTTGCTTCCGCCCATGTTCCTTTTAAGCCCTACATTTTATGGAATAATGCGTCGAGGCTGATGTTTAAAGCCATTTTTCACGGATAACACAAATATTCAATCGTGAACCGTTTCCACTATGAACTTTAGTCGCTCACTCTACTCATGAAGCTGAGCCCTTCTTCAGAAGCTGCCAATTGTGCAGCTACTCAATTTTCAAGCATTTTTATAGAACCCAAAGGTTCATTACCGTGTTCGCAAGAGCCCTCCACAGGTCCCTATCCTGAGCCAGATAAATCCAGTCTTATATCTCTGAGATCCATTTTAATATTGTCCACCCACTTACGCCTTGGCCTTCCCGCTGGTCTCTTTCCTTCTGACGTTCCCACCAATATCCTATATGCATTCATCATCACCCCCATTCGTGCTGCATGTCCTACCAAACTCATCCTCCCTGACTTCATCGTTCTATAGTAATTTTACTTTGCGAAGAGTAAAAGTTATAAAGCTATGTACTTTACTACAGTTCACATATGTACATCAAAATATTATTAGTTCTCACAGAATAGACACGATACACTGAAACGAACGATTGTCGCTGATTTATGACCTATTATATGACTTACTTTTATGCAAAGTTTTAGCCGTTGACGC